AACTTGTAAGTTAATAACTCAAACTGTGAACGGATAATGCTTAGAATAGAAATAGCAGCAAAAACTTCATCACGTTTTTGGAGTCACAGTTCTTTTGTTGCGTAAATATGAAATATTGTTTAAATGAGCTTTGCCTACTTTCTGTAAGATATATCTTTGAAAACTTTCTATCTACTAATAATAGGAAAAGAGGATTACCTTAAATTCAGTATCGATTCTATCAAATCTCTCAGAATCTTCCGGTAACTGTTTTCTAATATCCTCAGAACTCATAAAAATACTCTCTAAATGAGTCCACGTCCTTTGCACTTCAAACCAAACAGTTATAACCTGGTCTGCTATAGATAACTTCTGTTGCCAACTTGAAACTTCTTCTAAGAAGTGCGCTATGAACTTGGACGTTATCAAATTTTGCAATTGAACCTAAATATTTCAAATATTTAATTACAAACGACTTAAACAAAAATGCATCCCCTGATTTGATAAATGTAAGAATTCTGAACTACCTTCTTAAACCGATTCTTTGTAAAAGCCAGTGTTGGTTCCTTTTTTTTATATAATAGGGGGGGCAAACGAGCTTGCGGGACGATCAAAAAGGGCAGTCATCGCAGCCCATAGACACCCATTTGAAGTGGGTGCGTTGCCGACCTTTGAGGGAGGAGTACACTCGATTTTTAAACATTTGGAGGTCGTACTTCTGAGAGAATACCTTATCCTTGACGAAGTCTACCACAGAAGTGTTGTTGATTTGATTTCGATAAAAATTTGCACAACTATAATATTAATAAACCTTTGCAATAAGAGTATCATTAGGGGTCTAATACTCGCAGAATAGTCGTTGATATCAGCTATTATTTAATTATCATGCTTAGCTACCGAAGTGACTAATTAAAGTAATTCCTTAGTTATGCACTACAATAATGAAGATACCTGATTTTCTTCTAATGTTTCGATAAGCTCTTCACTGGCTCTCAATAAAATACACCCAGTCCTCGCATGAACCTCTTGTTCAAACTCCATCTGACTCCATGTTGTGTTAAGATCTTTTAGTATCTTCTCCATAGACATTTCCTTGACAGCCTTATCGACAATGTTTTTTACCTCTTCCTCAAACTCATGTAGGTTTAAGGCCAATAAGTCTGCTAATGTTGTATTTGTATCCATCACTATTCGTACCTATATGAGAATTTCTCTTGATTGTCTGATGTTACGTTAATAATAAATACTTATTCACTTTGGATGACAAAGATCCATTCTATTTAGTAAACTAACTTTAGTAACTTCAACAACAAATATTAAAATAAATAATAAATAAACAGCCTACGCGGACGCTTGTCGGCTGTCGCTCTGATAAAACCTGCCAAATAATTTGCCGTCCTATAGGATACTGTTTCTACGGCTTCGGAATAGATAGAAGTAGCAAATAGTAGACAATAGTTCTTTTCAGACGGATCGCTCAGAATTTAAATTAGTCTGAGCTAGCATTAAGCAAACAGAGTTCCACTCTCCCTTGCTGTCCGTACATACTTCGTTCAAGCAGTATCGTTTGAATAACGTTTATGCGCCACCCATACCTTATACTTTAAACGTAGTATACTGGGCGATACTCAGATTGAGGGGGCTGGAATGGCCAGCCTGTGTAACCAGTACCAACAAGTCAATTATCAATTCGGTCATAAGTTTTAACTGAATGCCCTCGAAATTTTTTTTTGTAAAAGCATCGAACTCTTCCTTTTCCTTTTGACTAAAGTAAATAAAACTATATATATAGTATATGAAACATTCATAATGTGCATTCACATAAGCGTGATTAGATTATGTATTATTTACACAAATTTTCATACTTACTGTGAGTTCAGGTGGCAATGCAGCTAAGCTCTGTGGAGTAAACATATTTACATTCTCAGAACAATCACACCAAGATGCAAAATATTTACAGGATTACCATACAAGATTTCTGAATGAGAAAGCATCGTCGAAATACAGCCCGAAATATAAGTTCACAAACTTGATGCGTGGTTGAAATTTGTGCTAAGTCTGATGTACCAACTTGTCTATAATAGTATCTAATATTTAAAAAAATACAGATTATAACGCAGCACAGGTGGGGACGACACCCGCTGTACAATTGTTATATACAGATGATTTATAGTATACATAAATTCATAATAAATCAAAATAAACGAAAGTAAAATTGTCGTCAATAAATACGTTTAAAATCAAATGATTTTTTTAGCGCTTCATTAATTTATAAGACTACTAGCTGATCCGGCAAACGTCATTTTGCCATGTATATCATTTATAATAAAAAAAGGGGTTGATCGTAGAGGGGTGAAAGTTAGGGGTTGTATGTATTTTTTTTTATCATAAAAAAATAAAAAATAAGTAATTTATCTAAAAATTAAAAAAATTTAGGGGTGGATACCCTAGGGGATGAAAAATAATGTTGTCCGATTCTCAGACATACACAATAAGCACACAAAATTTCATGAGAATCGGTCAAGCCGTTTCGGAGGAGTATGGCAACGAAAACTGTGACACGAGAATTTTATATATTAGATTTTAGGCTTATTCGAGTACATCAAACTTAACATTCATTTTAAAATTTCAGGCATCACATTCAAAGCACCCACATAATCAACATGCCCCGTGGATAAGGATCATTGCCATAACCTAAACAGAAAACTCATACGTATATTAAAAAAATAAAGATAAAAAATTTTACAAGTAGCCTAAGACCTTTCAAATAAAATTTGCATTTAATATTTGCCTTTAGTTTTTGGTCTAGGGATTTTACAACTATAACTGTGTAATAATATAACGTTTGTTACGATCAGAGAACAACCGTGGTCACTATTTTATATAAAAAAGAATTTTGGAAATAGCGATATAAAAATATTGGAATAAACATTGTTTCAGTGTTATAACTATATTATATTTGTTTTTGCAATGGTGCGTATCCACTGTGTATATTTATAAAGATACATGCAACATTCGAATTTTCATACATTTGTGCAAAACGTTAGTACCATTCCAAGCTGGATATAATCTGTTAGGAAAGAAAATCGATAGTTTTCAATCCTGGAAGACTTTTGGAAATAATTGTTTATATTTTTATGAATTCACTATTTATTATTTTTGTACATAGTAATTATTTACACAATGTATATTTATTTACAACGTATTTACAAATATTAAAGTATTTTTATACATAAATACCTTTGTAGTTTTCATTAATTGATCCCAATGGCGTTCCCTTATAGCTGGGTTTTGTAGCTCACCCACCGCCCTTAGTGACGTAAGCATATTCTTAACAGTTGCTTCCAAATTTATATATGTGTCCCAACTGTAAAATATAATAAAATATAAGTTAATACTAAAGTGAATAAATCATAAATAAATTTATCCTAACAGGAACAATTCTCTTTAAAATGCGTTTTAAGCACTCCTCTATATTAAATATAAAACCGAAATTGTATGAGACATTTAAATTAGCACGCTAAAAAAATCAGTATGTTTAAAAATCTTGTCTTAAAATCTATTTTATATAATAGGGTGGCAAAACATCGCAGCCCATGGGCACCCATTCTTAGTGAGTGCGTTGCCGGCCTTTGAGGGAGGAGTACTCTCTAACTTTAAATAGTTGGAGGTGTCTCAGGGAAGAGTTCACTAGTTCGCAGAAGAGAGTTCCTTGTGAAATGGACTTATCTGCCTACGTACGCTGGAGTTTTGCATACAATATACTGTATACATTTATACGTGCGACTGTTTTCGCCGCGCTGCCCTCCCTAATTCGTATAAGTATAATACTTTGAAATTTATACACAAATATATGAAATAATTCTTACCTTCTCATTTCCTTATCAAGCAGACGGATTTCCTTAGCGAACTTCTTACATTCAATATCCATGTTTTCCACATCAATTTTCCGCCATGGAGTTGTTTTCCAGTCTTCTATGCTTGTCCTTACAATGTACACGTAATCCCAAAGTTGCTAAAATCATATGTGTTAGCATGTGTTAGTGTTAATCCATGTGTGCGATTATAAATATATATATATATATACTAGCAGACCGGCCAAGCGTTGCTGTGGCTAAGGTTTTTGTTATATTACATAGTAGAAAACTATTCAAGGGAAACGGTAGGAGAACACCAGTAATGGGGACCACCATGCTTTTTTGGTTGTTATGCCATTAAATTGTAGCTTATGTGAAACGTTGGTACTTTCAACACAGCGCCATCTGTTACAATTGTGACTGTCAATATTCAAATAATTTGCAATAAAATAATATTGCGGGTATAAATTAAGATGTAAGCTCCTATCTTTTAAGTTAGATCAAACTGCACACGGTGTGCAAATTTCATTGAAATCGGTTAAGTAGTTTTATAGGCGTCCATAGCGGACAAACAACGTGACCCGTAATTTATATTTATTAAGATTATATAGTTACTTTTAACATGCGTAACTCCTTCCTGCATTGTTTTAATAATTTAAACTCTGGTACATTCACTTCGAATAGGGATCCCGATTCTTGTATACCCTTCATTTCTTCCTCTAAATATAGCATTTCCTTGTCAACTCTTGACATTACGGCGTATGGGTCATCGCATTCATATTTGAAAAACTATAAGAATAAAATTGGCATGAAGCTAAGCTGTAAGCGTATATCACTTACATTGGTACAGGGCACTATTATTTATAGCTTTGTTTTATATCTGACTTAAGGATTTCTACAGGGTCAAAAATATACCTTATATTTAGGGGAAAATATACTTTATCGGATGAAACGTTTATTATAACAATTTTGTAGTTATTGAATTTAAAATTGTAAAATAGTCCCGAAATTTCGCATTCTTTATAGCAAGTATTGTCACGGATTGACTTCAGACAGTATTTTAATGTATTTGTATAAAGATAAGTTAATATACCTCATATTTCTTAAACACTTCCCGGTAATATATAACATGGGAATCAAACGTTGTTATTTTCTTCCGTATACACGCAACTTCAGCTGCCTGTAATGGCGCCACCTGTTGCTTTACCGTGAGCGCCAATTTCTTTGAAGCTTGCCACTGTTCTGGTAGTTCCTATAATTATTTCAGTAATTAAATTAACACAGATATAACGAAATATTTTCCTTTGTTCTAGAAAAATAAATTTCCGAACAGAAACTAATCTGAATGTTCTTGATGTATGCGTGCTAATTTGGTGGATTCGAACGACAACTTCCGACTCTACTCGTAAGGCTGTTATTGAAATTAATAAAAGATAATCGAACTGGATTTTTTAAACAAACATATAATATAGACGTACTTGTAACAACACGTTAACTTCTTCTGGAATATCCATGTCATAGAATTTCAGTAGTTCAATAGTTTCAGTAAGTGGATGAAACATATCATCTGTAGTTACAGCACGATCTTTGACATTCATTAAGTATCCCATGACTGTAACCAGAGCCTCGTAGTCTCCTTCAGGTACAGGTTGGAGTAGTCCTAGAATATTATGAAAACTATAAGTTTTTAACGTGTTACTCAAATTGTGGAATTAACGTAAGAAGATATTGCTTAAAATTAAATGCACAATATTTTATAATTATAAAATTTAATGAATCTTATTAATAAAATTATCTAATTTCTATAAAATAATAATGATAATTTAAAATAATATACTGCAAAACAGTCTTAACAATCTGGGGGCACGGCAGTGCGCCCGCCAAGTCAAGCAAAAAAGCGGCACGGCCTATCCTTTTCTCAAAGCAGTTCAGGTCATTTTCAACCCCCTATAGAAGTTGTGAATAAAATTAGAACCCTTGATTTTCTTATGTGAAGTTAAGGAATTAATTTAAAACATAAAATATTCGTAATGCTGATATGGTCACTATAAGATGTTGTCACCTAATTACGTAATAACTAAAGACAGTCTAAATAAATTGGCCGACTTGGTACATGCATCTCAAAACGTTTTACGGGTAAAATAATTGCGGTGTGATATTGACTGCCAACTAAGGATCAAAAATCACTCTGATAGTATAAAGCGATAAAACAATACACGATTAAAATATTGTTGCTTCAAAGACATCAATAAAGTACCTTCGTCTGCCTCTCGTATAAAATTTCCCAAATCTGTCAAGCTCGAAGTAACATTTTCAACTAAATGTTCTTTGTACATGTTACCCCATTTTCTTACGGTGTTCAATAATGCTTGTCGGAACGGTCTTATATCTACCTAAAAAAAAATGCGTTATTGTTTCCATGGAAGATTCCACTTCTGTATTTGGTTCGTTAATTCATGTTCAAAGATAAAATCTGAGATCTATTATAGCCCGTTATCCCAAGCCGTAACAGTTATTGTTACGCCAAGAATAGCTCACAAGACCTGAGGTGACGGAGGCGATTACGGGACGCTTTACTTCTCTTTTAAATGGAGTTAACTAATGATCCTTACTTGAAACCACGAATTAAAAACTTTATAGGATTCCATATCTTCAATGTCCATATACAAATTTTCATAATGATCAATTTGTTCCCTGAAGGCTTCCATTTTAGGTGGAGAAGGGACTGGTGGTTGAACATCTTTGTCTTCGGAACCGATTTTATCTATTTCCTCTGGCGTTAGTATCCTGCCATATTCTAGGAATATTTCCATTATGGCATCTCGCTCTTCTAACCATAAGTAGGAATAGTTTTCGAATGTTTTGCAAAATTCGTTTGCTTCTTCTATAACCTGAATTAAAAAAATAAAAGTTGTCTCTTAGCTTATTTAACAATTAATATTAAAACTATATCTATATCTACATTTACATTGTCATATAAGTATACATACCCGCTCAATGCCATCAAATATATCTTCTTTCATTTCGATTACATCGTGATGATTAATAATCTGTTCATAATATGACTCAGTCTTCTGTTTATCGATTCTTTCTATTAATGTTGACATTTTCAAAATATCATCTATAAGGTTATCTATAAGAGCGGTAAAACCCTTTTCATCATTGGAATCTAATGATGGAGAAAACACCATATCCGGTTCTAAAAGTTCCAACTGTGCTTCAAATAATGATGCTAACTTATTCTTGGGATTCATGTGTTCCGATATGTAGCCCATACTAAAAATATAAAAAGGCGTACTGAGCTTTTCAAGAATAAAGTCTTTTCGAAAAACTTTACATACGCATTTCTGTAACTTGAGAGGGTAACTTATGGGTTTGACACATTTCTGTATACGCTTCATCTTTAGAGGTAAATAAATAATTGGCCTTTACCCGCAACTGGTATGAACGCATTTGTAAGATAGACACTTAAGTTGTTGAGTTAGTTTATGCTATAAAGTTAATGACGCACCTGCAAGCAATCGATTTAAACAAGGCCTCTTCAATCAAGCCATCAATAAAAGCGACATAAGCAAGCCATTTTACGCTATCCTGGCTTTCTTGCATACTAAATAACTGCATGTTTTCACCTAAGAGCGTTTTAATACATGCTGCACTAGTTTGTATGTCGCTATATCTTTTAGTAGTTCGTTCTTTACGATCTTCTAAATTCATCAAGGTATCCTGAAAGTTATATAGTTTTACAGTAATTCCACCAGTAATCCTAACGAATTTTACTTCTTACAGAGCAGTATCTGGATATTTAGTTATGAAGTTATTATAGAATAATAGTTTATTATTTTCATAACTCAAATGAAATTAATAAGAAATTATACATTGGATACAAGCCTTTTTCCCTTCTTTCCTTTCAAACAGCGGTTGTGTTGACCAAGTCGTCAGTACAGCCTTTATTTGTTTAAGATTATCTTGAATTCTGGACATTCGATCGTATAAACTTCCTACCAATTTATGTAGTTCTTGCAAATAATTCCATAAGTCTATAAAAGTAAACATTTTAATTGGCGACCAAATCTCAAATTTAATTGATAATAACAAAATTATCCTATTGAATATTACCATTTGAATTCCAATTGAGTTCGTGTTGCGCCATTTCAATTCTCTGATCAATCGCTTTTATTTCATCTTCAACTAAATCAAATTCTACTTTTTGACTGTTTCTGTGTATTTGATTATACCAATCCGTAGTGATTCCCAAGTTTATTCTGTATTGACGAAATGTTTCTTGCTTCTCAAACAGTTCTAAACTTTCATGAGGCAAATCTTTAGACATTTCTGGATTCGATCTCAGATGATGGACTTCTTTCATGAGATCTAATAACTAAAAATAACCACAAAGATTTAATAAAAAATCTTTCTATAAATTTAAAGAATTTTAATTAAATGATTATTACTTCGGGACTGAAATTCAAAATGAGATCTGGAACTTGTCTCGTTATAATTGGATTGTTTGTCTTTTCTTCCACAATCTTAGGAACGGTCAATGTCCAATCGTTAAAATACTTTCTCTTGAACTCATTTATATCTTCAATCAACTTTTCATACCTTTCAAAAACCTTGACAGCATCGCCGCACCCTTTTATCCTGAGTTAAAGAAATTATTGTTTTAGGGATTTATGTCGTCTGATGAAATATGTATATTTTAACTACTGCATTAGATGAACATCAGCCGAATAATCAGCTTTCGCAATTTGCCCCACCCTGATAACTTACGGGTGCGGCAAATTGCGAAAGCTAGCTATAGGCTTGGAAATCCTTGTAGCTAGCATCGTCATATACAGGAGTCCTCCAGCAATGGGCGGAAAGTAAGCGTCTACCTCCATATGACCGTACTTCTGTTGTCGATTGCTTTGTTCTCTAAATAAATCCTGAAAAAATACCATCGCTTTACATCAAATTCCGCTTTTCAACAATATACCTATAGAATTGTTTTACGTACTTCACAAATAGATAGTTCTTTATCCAACATCACTATGATTTCAACATACTTGGCGGTAAATTCATTTTTAATCAAAGGCCTTTCTAATACAGATCCAACTATATCAATAAGCTGAAAGTCAAATATATAGAATTCATATAATTTTCTTGTATATAATTATATATAAAAGTCTATCATACCTTGAATATTGCTTCCAAAGTTGTGCAGTTATCAAACGATTCTACCAAAACAGTTGATAACTTTAAATCTAAATCGATAATATTATCTTGAAATTCTTTAAAGTCTTCATTAAATCTCTCATCATCAGGGTCTAAGACGTCATATGACTTCGATGCAAAGCTATGGAAGTACGATTCAAATTCTCCAGAGATATCTCTTATTTGACCACCTAAAACTCTGCCCTTCATACCACCGATTTCTATCTTCTCCAACTTTTGGAACTCAAGTACCGTTTTGAAGAACCACTGTATTGTATTTAAGCGCTCTAAGAATTTGTTCATCCTCTCAAATACAACATTTGGATGGAATGTCCAAAGCAGTATAGCTCGATTTTCAAAATATTTGGGAATATTCTCTTTAAAATAGTCAAACGTCTGGCGGAAGTTCTTGAGAATGTCAATCGTCATTTGAATTCGTTGCCTCGCTTCGTCTATATCACTGTGAAACAGAGTACTTGGGTCCAAACACTTTTTAGCCTAAAATAAGATATTTTATAAGTACCTATTTTAAGTAAGGGTAAGGTGACTTTTGGTTTACCTGAAATATAAGCAAATTGCATATTTGCTTGATCAGAACCATGAGCTTGGACGAACTGCAGTAATACTTTGAGTCACGCCAAACCATGCATATTACGTGAAATAAAGGTCTAAATAAAGGCTGACACTCAGTAAAATCTGTGTCATCAAGCGCTTGAAAGTGCTTTTCTAAAGTCCGAAGGTACATATCAATTTCTCGAGCTTCTGCTAAAGCTAAAAACAATTTTTAAACCTCCTGTAATAAGTTAAGTTCTATAATTCTATAAAAATAGTATATTTTATACTCGTACATCGAATAGATCTCAGTAGGACAGTATTTGTTGATTACAATTATATTTTAACCGTCGCAATATTGAATTCTTAGTTAACAGGTATTACTTCTTAGTACTAGCTTCTTTAGTACTCATGTAAACGTTTTCGTTTCTCACGTTCTGATTACACACATTAACAACATAATGAAATATTATATATTTAAAGACTCAATAATGAGTTTTTAATAAGTATAAATTTATAGAATTTATTAGTTTTGCATTAATTAATATTTGGTACACAAGTACATAACGTCAGTTTTCATGCAAAGAGGAAACGTTTAATAATATGTACCTAAATTAATTTTATCTACTATTAGGTATTGAGAGAAAATGTAACTACTATTTTTTATTAAATACCTTTTCTCAGTCACCTTAGCTCAGTAACGCATTTTTTGTAATAAAATCGTCTACCCATTTGTCTTATCCCTAATGCATAATATATAATAAGAGGTTTCTAATACAATATTATATTGATCATACATACCTGATACTATATTCTTGAACAAACGGCTAAAACATGGATAATAAGCAGAGTTTGTTTTTTCCAATATAACGGCCATGCACCGAACTCTTTCCATTCGCAATTGATCATAAATGTAATTAAGATTGCTTAATCTTGATCTCCAAAACGCTAGTTCTACAAACATTCTTAAACTTATTATGACTCAAAAACAATTTATTGAAAGAAATTATATTCATTTTAATGATTCTGTGAGTCAGATAAGTGTATACATTAAATATACAGTCTACGAATATTATACTGAATATTTAAATGTTTCAAATTAAAAAAAAAAAACATGATAATAGATTAAGTCCCTTACTAAGTATAAAATATTTTCGGTAACAGTATGAAACGATCTATTATAATTCGTCTTAAATCGTAATTTTTCGGTGCGAAGTGATTTCGTCACTGTATTACCACCATTGTTAGTTGAAGTGTTTGAAGTTTTTTGCAGAACGATAGATTTTTTATTTTTTGTTTGTTATCTTAGGTACTAAACGTAACAAAAGACAATCTCTGAAGTTAAAATAGAAAGAGAGATAATATCTCTTACCGACGTTAGGTTGCGGGTTCTGTCCGTTTTCAAAAGCTTGTGCAGAATCTTCCATCATCACATCATTTATTTGCTGAGCCCACTTGATGACTACCCCTTCGATTGCGCTTTTTAAGTATAGGTCAACTTCTTTTCCCAATAACATTTCTTTCTCAGCTTCATGGACAAGTTCTACGCCTACTGGCATCGGTAGGACTGTCTGTCCACTTACTTTACCTTTAACCTTTTCAATATAACAAAATAATGATGATTTTTTTTTTTTATAGAACGGGGGGCAAACGGGCAGGAGGCTCACCTGATGTTAAGTGACACCGCCGCCCATTGACACTCTCAATGCCAGAAGGCTCGCGAGTGCGTTGCCGGCCTTTTAAGAATTGGTACGCTCTTTTCTGGAAGGACCCTAAGTCGAATTGGTTCGGAAATACTTCAGTGGGCAGCTGATTCCACATAGTGGTGGTGCGCGGCAAAAACTGCCTTGAAAAACGCTCAGTTGTGGAACGGCGGACGTCGAGGTGATACGGGTGGAATTTCGTATTCTGTCTCGACGTCCGATGATGAAACTCAGCTGCAGGTATTAATCCGAACAACTCCTCTGAACACTCTCCATGGTAAATGCGGTAGAAGATGCAGAGTGACCCCACATCTCTACGCAACGCCAAAGGATCAAGCCGCTCGGAGAGGGATTGGTCGTCGACGATTCGAACCGCTCTGCGTTGTATTCGGTCAAGTGGAAGGAGCTGGTACTGGGGAGCCCCCGCCCAGAGGTGAGAGCAGTACTCCATGTGGGGCCGAATTTGCGCTTTATATAGTTGCATGCGGTGGCCCGGAGTGAAGTACCGCCTCGCCTTGCTGAGCACACCAAGCTTTTTGGAGGCTAATTTAGCCTTTCCCTCGAAAGTGACCGCGAAACTGAACGTCGTTCGATATGTCAACGCCAAGTATTCCAATGCTGGCTGTGGCTTTAAGAAGAGTGATGATTCTACTCTACTTACAAATAAGTTACCAAAAATCATACGTTCATGATATGTGTTATATCATTTTTGCGTAACTATATTACATTTCTGCTGGTAAAGTATTTTACAGTTGTTACTCGCAATTTAATATGCTGTTATATAATATTGCTATGATTTTACAATAAATCTATACGTTTTATATAAATATTCACGTCTTCAAGTAGTAATATAGTTCATCAGTGACGTCACAAATAAGGGCAAAGCGAAAAACGAAACCACATCAGGGACGCTAATTTACGACCAATCCTTTTTTTTCAAGGATTTCAAAGCAGGGATTGTCATATAGAAATTCAGATTCTCGATGGATAGCTCGACCGCAAAAATCAGGATTGGAAATAATTTTAGATTATAGTTCTAGTATAGAAAGCGGCCGTTAGTAGGTCTACCGTAATGACATTTCTATCAAATTATTAAGAAATGATCTTAGTAATCTAACACTTAACCCGTTTACTAAAAAATAAAAGTACAAGTAATATATTAACTCCATGTGCCAATAGACAAAATAATATTGAAATATCCAAAATTATACAATAAGTATTTAATTGCAAATCACCTCGTAAACGGTGCTTTTCAAATTGTGGATCTGCTTCAGGATATCCTGAGAGACGACTCGAGGCCAACCTTCATGGTTTGATGGGTTTGATAACAACGGAACAAACACTTCATCAACGAGTGCAGCTAACTCATCTATTAATCTCGGTGCTAAGTCACCTGTTACACAGAAATAAATATAAAATTCAGTGACATTAATTGTATTAGAAGTTAAGTTCAACAGATAAAACAAATTTATATTTTGGCTGAAAACACCCCGTATATTTTTACTTACGTTACCCTACCTAATAAAACTCACCTAATAGTGTACTTACCAAAGATAACCATCGCCGAACATCCTTCTTTAGGAATGGCGCCTGGTTTTTTCTTAACAAAATAAACAGCTTTATTTTTCAAATAACATGGAAATGTGATAACCGGTACCAACTGCGCTGCATGGGTTAGTACAATCACGAGTAAGAGTGGGAGAGGCTTATCCACAAAATCTCTTAGTGTGGATCTGTGCTCTTCGACGCTTAGTACCCGCATCCATTTCTCTGGTTTTAATTTTAATGATTTTACTACATAAGACCCAATGAAATCAAATCGCGGGTCATGGTTTGTACTCGATGGACCTGGCTGGTCCATGCCTAGAGTTTAACCCTACATCTATTAGAACAAAAGAATATTTGATCTTATTTTCTTGTCTTTTTCCAAGCTATCAGTTCGCCGTCCGAATACTTATTGAAGGCACATTGGCAATGTAGAAGCTAGTCAAATGGCAAGTCACGCAAAGCGAATAGCGGGTCATTATGGAACCATGTCTCCTTTGTAACGAGCCTTTTACTGCCTCACAAAAATAGAGCAATCTTTACAGTAAGCAAAAAAATATTTTTAAAAGGTTTATTTTTTAACCAACAAAGTTAACGCTTCGTCAATAAATGTGTTTAGAAGCTTTAAAATTACTATAGGTAATCTACATACTAGGCCTGACTATAATATATTTTCAGTTATAAAAGTAATAATGAGACTCAAATATTAGAATATCTTTCACTAGCTGATCCTTAAAATATGTTGAAGCGTTGTAAATATTGGCGGCTTGATCAGAAATCAGAATACGAAATTCCACCCGTATCACCTCAACGTCTGACGTTCCACAACTGTGCGTTTTTTTAGAGGCAGTGTGGCACCACCTCTATGTGGAACCAGCTGCCCACTGAAGTTCCGAACCAATTCGGCTTAGGGTACTTCAAGAAGAGCGCCTAGCAAATCTTAAAAGCGCACTTCGCGGCCTGCTGTCCCATTATATAAAAAAAAATATTAAGACGAACTATATATTTCTCATTTTAGCAGGATAGGCAGCGTCACTGGTCACTATTAATATCACTTATGAAAAATAGTTCTATAAAAAAATAAAATCCAAAGCTAACCTTCATTGTTAAAAACTCATTACGTGATACTTCATATTTATAATGCATTAACATTTCTTAGGTTTATTTGCCGTCAGTACTTTGATTTCGCGTATGAGCGGGTGCCAGGCGCTTTCCGCTCCGCCCTAGCTCCCGCCGAGATGACACTCGCGACGTCGCGAATAAGGTCAACTGTCGCTATTTACGACCATAATTTTAATTTAAAAGCGAATAGCGATTTCGTTCTTTTATTTTCGATAGGGTAGAGGGCGATTTAATCGCATAATCAAATCCTGCCTGTGCAAAATTAACATTGCTTGCACGGTATATAAAAATATCGTGAGGATGCATTAGTTTGATCCAAAAATTTCGGTCTCAGGTGAAAAAGACTACTTACTTGCCTATACAGAAAAGCTAGAAATGAAACAGATGTAAAATTAGAGATAATACAGAGACTTCGTATTTATCAATAGATATTTAAATTGTGTACTTACCCATCTATAACCTTTAAGTTCCAATGACGTGAGCTTGTAGCACAACTTTGACAGGATTTAATTAACATTCAAACGTTTATCGTTATTTTGGGACTAATTTAATATTGATTTTTAATTATCATTACCAAAACGTCCATATTATACCTACGTTTATAATATTTTGTATTCACTTTATTTTTGTAAGGTTTTATAAAGGATTCTAATTACGTTAAAACTATTAAGTATTTACTATAAAATTACGTATTAATAATACGTCTAAGGTCACATGTCTTCATTTCTTACCGCCTTCTTCGTAAACGTAGCTATACGTTTCAAATGGTTGTTATATTTATCTTTATTTAAACCAAAGTCAACGTGCAGTAGCAGATAACTTTCAACGTTGCTAGACATTCCATGTTTTAAATCGCTAAAAGTGTATATCTTAAATAGTAGTCTAGATAAGAATCGTCGCGTGCAAATATTATTTACTATTCTGTACGTAGTTTTGAGGTTTATCTATATAATATATTGCTTGTAGCAATATGTAGTAGAAATGCTTCTAATGTTATATATCTATATATCTTTTCTGCAATTAATTTGTAATTAAAAAAAAACTACAAGTTTTAAACTACTTTCCACCTGTCTCTACATTTCTACGATTCTATTGTTAATCATGCAAACTACGTAATCAGAACGGGAAGAAAAATAAATACAAAACTCAGAATTTTATACATTTATTGATAATGACAGCGATGGTTGACTCAAAGTTGCTACTTGGCAAAAATATTTCCTCTAGAAGTGAACTATCTGTATTTAAATATTAAAAATCTCTTTATATGTTTACAATAATGAATATTATGCAACCATCTATCCTGCTACCAAGTAGCTGCCTAATCTATGGCTTATCACATAAAAAAATCAATAATTGTGATCTATTTTTACACAATTATAAAACTGGCAACACAATAACATCATTGCTACAAAAAAATGTCACCAAAATTATACAACGAATTCATAAGCTCATATGCAATTAATTGACTGCAATAAATACGAATTACTCTATAAAACAAATAATAACTACATTTTAAAACAAGCACAGCACGTTGTCAGCTTAGTTCTAATTAAAATAAATTAGACGTCAAGGTCACTATTAGCCTAGGAGCCCTAGTGCATATTCCAAATGATTTCATCTTAATCTCAACTAACTTTATTGCCTTAAATCCGTCTTTAATTTTGATTAAAACCAATATTTAAAGACAGATTGTCTCCCTCGTTGTCCTACCAAACTATTGGACAGAAGCACATCGAGAATTTCAAAGACACATCCTACTATATTTAAAAGACTACACATTGAGCTGTCCTAGTTGAGGCCTGATCCGTAAAAATGCAAAAATCATTCACACTATAAAAATCTAACTTATAATAAGGTGATAAATGTCCAAATGGAATGTTAAGTACGATACGTCTAATAAGCGTTCGAATGAAATAAGACATCAGTCGAGTTTGTCATATCGGCACGTAATTTGGCAAGATTTTGGGAGCATTCAAGTATTACGTAACGAATTTCGGGGGGGGTCCTTTTGTGAAACGTTACGATGAGGGGCGGGGATTGAATAACGCGTTATTGTTAATATTATTAGACTTTCCAATACTTTACACCACGTAATGGTAACTTTTAGGTATAAAGTGTCACTAGGTGGTTGTTTTACTATACTTGGTTACAGTACTGTACTTGGGCACAGAAAAACGTTACGGCGCGTTATACGGGGTAGGGGGAGGGTCAATAATCTCCAAAAATTGCGTGACGTAATACTTGAACGCTCCCTAATTGCTAGAGGTATTTTGTATAGAAAATAATCTAGCAGTTACGAATCGATATAGAGACCAGGCGTTTAGTAGTTACAGCGCATCTTGCCAACTTACACACTGGAAACTTACTTGGTGCATTAATAGGCGAAACATTTTTATTATTATTTTTTACTTTACGTGGTGGCAAGTCACGGGCGGTTGAAAGTGAGATTTTTAAAAACACTAGTAAATAACGAGGCGTTAAATCTAATTGTGTACTCAAAGTGTACTTAACAATTACGTCTAAAAGGATGGAATATACAATAAAGGTGAACTAACTCTATTGCTTCGGCGGATGAAGCGAATCGATGTGAATATACCCTAATACATGTGAATACACTTTCCTACTAGCATTCAGATTTCACCTAAGCTACCCCAATTAGCTACCACACAATGGGAAAATCAATATACTTTATTGTTTCTGGATGGATAATGACACAGGACTAAGTTTTTCATGGGTGTAATATACAGCACGTTGAATCGTCTATAAATATTAAATTTACAATCTCAAAATTTTTAACTACACAACCCTAATATATGTGGTGCAAGTGACGAGCGACGACGAAATAGAATAAGCGTGAACACGCAAAATACTTTATCAGCGTTTAATATAAGAATATTGCGTAAATAATCGCTGTCATTTGCACCCGAGAAAAGATTTCGGTGAGTCCATGGCTGGATAATGTACTAAGTACAAGTCTTTGAAAGGACGTAGATGTGATATTGGACGATTTCGTTTTTACCAAACAATAGGGAGAATTTAAATAAAACTTTCTAAACTGGCAAGAAACTATCACAATAGGCAATCGTGTCCAAAGACTGAGCAATTCGAGAATAAATTTAAATGCAAAATATATAATCATTGTATATTTAAGTCCCGTCCACCGATAGGTAAATGTCAAAATATTAAAATGCTCTTAGGAACCTTGTCAAACGATGATAAAGTTTCTTAAGTTATTTTTTTTTTACAAATTGATGAGCTTCAAAAAAGCATGAGCTAATACATAAATAATGATAAAACTATACAGTAATAAATTCTATACAAACAATCCTGATCACAAACGATTCATTGGTCATTAAATTAACAACACACATTCACATATTTACATAAAAATAAAATGATGTCAATTATATTTACAAATATGTTCTCGAAATAAAATAATTCGCTAATTCGACACTTACGGAAAAACATTTCATTCAAATATTATTGTACCAAACAATAATATGGAGAAATGTTTTCCTAATGATAAAATTCATTAAATATATAAAAACCGGGACTAAAACGAAACAATCAGTTAGTTAGAACAAAATAACTCTGCTTAAGGGTGAAAGGAACAAAATATACACATAAGCACCATAGTTACAAGACTGCAACATAAAATGAATTGGACTCGTGTGGACGTAAACAATTCGGTCCGGTTGCTGCTGTTTGCGTATACGTATATACGCGCGTACGTACGCGTATATGCTCGTACGTATAGGTTGTTGAGCTTATTTGCTTCTAGTTTTAGTGCCAACGGCATTTATGCTGTCACCGCGACTCCGGGATCTGTGTAAGTTCTGTAGGCCTTCACCTGTAAAATATAATATATAAAATTCTCGTGTCACAATGTTAGTTACCATACTCCTCCGAAACGGCTCAACGGCTTTTTATCAAATTTTATATGAATATTCAGTAGGTCTGAGAATCGGCTACTATCTAATTTTTTTCATACCCCTAAGTGATAAGGGTTGTCCACCCTTAACATTTATTTTTATTTTTTGGACGAAATTTTAAATTTTATTTTTTTATAATGTGCCATTTAAAAATACATACTACCCTAAATTTTCACCCCTCTACGATTAATCCCTATTTTTTATTATAGTAGATAGTTATTTTTATTGAACTAAAAAATGTTTCCTAGAAATAACATAGGTAATAGGTATATGACAAAACAACGTTTGCCGGGTCAGCTAGTATAATTATAAAATAGTAATTTCACGATTTTTTGATAATTGACTTTGGATTTCCATTAAATATATTTATTTATATAAACTTTGTTACATCACAAGCAATTGGTTCCAGGTAACAATAGTAGGGAAAAAACTGTAAAAAAAGTAATTTAATTAAAAGAATTTGTTATTATACTTTAACCTTAGTAATTGATTGTTTTCTTATTTTACCTTTGCTAGTAGCACGTTTCAGCTCATTTTCACGGAACGCCCTAGCACTGCGACCGCGCCGGTCCTGTATGAGCTTTTCGCCTCTCACGAATATTCCGTGTCGAGGTCGGCATTCGAAATACCGTGTCCCTCCTACAGAGCCATCGTTTTTTCCTATAAATATTTAAAATATTTTTTAAAAATACGATAAATCATATTAGAAAAATTCTGTATACTGCATTTTCTTGTGCGTGGTTTAATACGAAGCAGGTCGGTTACAGTTATAAATTTAAATTATTAATCCATGTTAGCAGAACGCTAGCAAGTGCGTTGCCGGCCTTTCAAGAATTGGTACGCTCTTTTCTTGGAGGACCCTAAGTAGAATTTGTTTGAAAATACTTCAGTGGGCAGCTGGTTCCACATACTGGTATCCGGCAAATACTGCCTTAAAAACGTACAGTTGTGGAACGACGGACGTCGAGGTAATACGGATGGTATTTTGTATTCTGCCTTGACGTCCGATATTGAAACTCAGCTGCTGGTATTAGACGGAACAACTCCTCTGAACATCCTCCATAGTAAATGCGGTAGAAGATGCAGAGAGACCCCACATCGCAACGCCAAGGGAACAGCCGCACGGAAAGTGACTGGTATCTAAGTATCTCACTAGTATAAGAGGCTCGAAGACGAAAAATATTAAACCTTCAATCCTTATTTCACAGCTAGTAAAACTACTTACCAGTAGGCGCGTCTAATTCTACTCCCACCCAAGTTCCAGGTGCAAAGTGGGTTGGTCCGACGTACGCAACTACTCCGGTGCTACTGCTCAGACGTAGTTGTACACTTTCGCCCACACACATCCACTCGGGTACTGCGTGCGAACGATCGCTTTCTGATTCGTCTGAAATTTCAATCTCATTAAAAACGTAAATAATTTTACGTACAAAGAAAAATATTTAATTTTTGTTTACATTATACAAAAAATATTATTTCGTGAATTCAGATTCAACCATTAAGCTTGAACATTGTAGTTTATAAATTATTAATTAATACTACTTTTGTTGGATTTTCTACAAATATACAAGAGTTTAAAAACCTAGATTTTTTAACTCTGTGTTGTGTTGTGTGTGCAATATCACACACATAATAGGAATTGTATTATAACTAACAGTAAACTATAAACTTAGACCGATCAACTTTAAAAAAATAGTATCGGGCATATTGTAATAAAATAAAACTTAAATATCAATATATCTTAATTTTATACATATATTTTAAAAAAAAAGATTACCCTGTAAAATACGCTCCGTGGATGCGGAAGTGTCCTTAAGCGGTGGCGAAACGTGTTCATGCGACTTCGTACGTCCAGACGGATACGACGCACGCGCAGCATTACGGGCCGTACCAGCACGACGACGGACGACCTTTCAAGTTATATTATATTAAAAATACGAGTAGAATCGTGCAATTTGAATAAAGTATAGCGCGAATTTTCAATCGTGCGATCGTACGTTCGAATAACGGCTACGTACAATATTTTTACTTTTTATTCTAAACACTTGTTTATCCGGGCGACGGGATATCGTAAGGCAATCAAAGTAACTTAGGAAGTTGAGAATAGTACGTTGTTTTTATATACCTTTCCCGCAGGAAGAGATGTATTGACTATAGGATCTGGTCCAGGTGAATCACTTTCTCCGACAGATGATGTCTCACGACTCCGCGTGTCGTGACTTGAATGTTCTGAGCTAACTGACTCAATTTCTGCTTCACCTGCAAATTAGTGATTAACTGCTATAAAAATAGTGATAAATATTATTAATTACTTAAGATATCATATGAAACATGGTGTAATGGTTGCAGCTCCTTACAAACGTTGCGTAAAACAAAAAACTTAGCGATTAAAAGGAGTGGCGGAGAGTTTATTGCCAGTTCTTCTCTTCCGTTCTACGCCCTTGATTTGAGAACTGGCAGTAAATGTCAAATTAGAAGCATTTATATTTCTTTTTTGACGTTCATAATTGTACATTGTTACCTTTATGAATAAATGACTTTGGATAGTTTCTTAAAACTAATTTGTATGTTTTTTAAAATAAGAAGTAATAATAGTTTAGGTGTCAACAACATCGAAAAAAATAGTTAAAATTACCGAAAGACGTGTCGTGCGCTTCCCCGTTGACTTGCGATTCTTGTTTATTATGACAAGACACCGTTTCCACAGTAATCGCTCCAAGCGGGTCCAAAATCTGTCCTTTATCCATAGCTTCCTCACAGTCCCTTAAGAACGGATTAATCCTGTTCCTCGATCCGGGAGTTAAGACCGGAGTTTTCGTTTTCTCGAATGCAACATCTTCCAACTCATTTTTCGATTCGACAATTTCATTCTTCAGGTCTGTGATATCACTTCTCAATTCACTTATCTCATGTCTGAGGCCGGCCATTGAATTTTTAGTCCGGCTCAAGTGCGTGTACTCCATGACTTTGTCGAAATCTGGTGTGTCATCAACGGACATACTGCGAATGGAGAGTGTGTCGTCGTTTGTGAGGTTGGTTGACGATACTGCTTGAGAACCTGGAAAATTAAACAAAGATCTATGAATCCAGATAAGATACCTCTTCCTTGTATAAAAAGAGATACATACTACATGAATATATATTAAGTTAGAAAATAAAGTATTTTTATAAAGAAAGCGTGAACGTATGCATTATATCATCGCTGTAGAATGATAACCTCGTATGTCCAGAGAACCAAACATTACAGGAAACTAAAAAATGTTTCATAAAATATTATTATGTGTTTTTATCCATAGTTTTACTGATTTATTTATTCTCTCTTTAATACCAGCTAAATGACATAAGAGTCTAAGAATAAAAAATAAATGTTTTTTTTTAAATACGAGGTTATCATTCTACAGTGACGATATATAACCATCACTATTGGTGAATGGTAGAAAGAGTTGAATGGCTTAAATATTTTTAAAACCCCGGCTTCAGACTCTCCTCTATACACAGCAAAAAGTGACTTACCATATCCACTTGAAGAAATTGAAGGTGAATTTTTGCTTGGATTTCTTTCACACGCAAGCTCGTGAAGTGAATCCAATGTCTTTGAAGTCGGTAAGAACCCGCGGGGGTTGGCTCGAGAACGCGTACGCTGGAATGTAAATATTATTTATTAAGTGTAAAATACGTTAAGCCAAGAACAAATTAATGACGTTAAAAAAATATTAAGTATTAAGGATAATTCCTCTGGAAGTTGAGAAGCACACACAATTGTGCGGATGAAAATAAAAAATCCTAGTCTAACTGAAGTTCATAGATTTTTAGTGTTTCTTCTCGACTTCTATATTTCATATACTCACTTGTGACCGCGGCGTAGTCAATTCATCTGAAGGAGCCGATTCTGGCTCTGAATGGGAATCCTCGTCATTTCGTCTACCTGGCTCCTCATGCAGGGTTGTCATGCGCAAACCCAATTTTCCACTCGCTGGAGACGCTGTAATTACGTTGTAATAAAATAAATAGTTCCATATAGTGTATTCTATGCAAATAAGGCAAAACAGAAAGAGCACGTATCTACAATAGCCCAGTCGAAAAACTGTGAAGTCTAATGATGGCTAGAAAAAAATCAGTTCTTACACTACTAATAACACTGTCTTAATTTTGGAGATGTTATGCCAATTTCATGCTGAGGTGTTTAATGAAACATGCTTAAGACTCCTGATAGACTCGAAGCTAAAAAAAAGACCATCGATGTTGTCAATATTTTTGACACCAAACAAGCACGAATGTAAAAAACCAAATAAAAGAACTCAAAAGATTCGAAACAAGCCAATCTAATGATTCTACGACTTAAATATCTTCACATACACTTATTCGGCGTCTGCAGTCGTAGTGAGTTCAGGTTCAAATTCAAATTTAGGAACGTTGGCCGAGCTGAAATAAAAATATTAGTACATGTGTCAGAAAATTGTTAGTAATATGAAGTAATGCACTGAAAATGTTATACTCGTAGCAAGATTAGATTCTTATATTTCCATATGGTTAGAAGAATCAATCGACGAATTCGCTATAATTTTTAAGATTTTTAATAGAATATTGTATTGTAATATTATATAATATTAATATTGCCAGATAATTTTATTTAATTTCATTATAAAACTATCCAATCTCCATGATATCTTCTTAATATTATGATGTTATAATTATCATCTATCTCTGACACTAGAACACACAAATCCATGCGTCGACTAAACCCATTAATTTTTCCCGTACCCAATACTATTGACACATGCATCATTTTAACACACACCTACTTTTATGTTACGAATTAATAATATATAATTATCTATTACTACTTTTACGTACTACAATTAACTGTTTTTCAAGTTTTTCGTTTCACTTTACAACACCTTTTTAGTAATTTGGCTGTCAAATTTAAGATATTAAACCGAAGCTTCTTTCAAAGCTGTCTTGACGAAAATAGAGGTAGGTAAAAAATCATGCTGGCATGCAAATGAAATATAAAGGCAAATAAATCAAATAAACAAAGCTTGCTGGACGCTGGAAATGAATCCATAATGATTCATAGCCTTTCTTATTCCAGACAATTTTTTTTTAATCATTTAATAAATCATTGTATTTAAATTTCCTATATCTTACAGCCAATTACCCAATAGCTAAATTTGGATCAAAATACGTAAGTCCACAAAAACTAGTTAATTCCAATTAACATCGCATTCGACTAATAATTTTGCCATCGTCATTCAATACTGTATTGTCACCTGATTACCTGATAGGAACGAGCCTGAAGGTAGCGGGGGTCATAAACACAAAATTAATGTTAGTTTAAGCCGGGAATAATATTGAAAATTTTGTTTATCACCTTCCTAATACTTGATACTTTGAAGTACGCCGAAGCGTATGATTTTCGCAAGCAATTTTGATTTCTCAAAAATTAAGAAGGTTCAATAATTTTGAAAGATTTGAGAGACAGAGTAAGATTTGAAAGAATAGCATTGCCACGAAGCAAGTAGAAATTAAATTGTGATATGGTGGATGTTTTGTGAAGAGTATAACGAAAAAAAATCTTGCCGTTGTTTGTCGAAAAATTCTGTTGTAAGGTGTGTCAAACGCTATCATATAAAATCTATACCTACAAGATGCGTGCATTTCGTCAGAAATAACTAAGCTACAATGCACTATGGCTAAAACCTACTAAAAAAATTGTAAGAAGTAAAATAGTAGTAATGGGGATGTGTTGTGTTAGAAAAAAGAAGGTTCTATATATATTTGATTAGTATTGGTTAGATATATCCCGGTTTCATTTTTATTAGACTTAGTTATTTCATGTATGAAAAAAATTTGTTGGAAACTTACCGAGTCCGAATGGTTTTGTGGGCGTGACGATATCCGGATCGTTATGAGCGGGCGCAGCGTACGAATGTCTGTGCATATTGCGTCGTGGTGTTTCGTCAGCTAAGTCAGCTACACTGCCTGAGCGACCCGCGGATAAATTGGTCAAAGATTCGAATGAAGAGTCCAAACGCATAATCTATAACATTGAAATATAATTACTAATTGTAAAATAAATCGTTTTACTGTGAGCAAATTTGGAGAGGATCCATTTTTTATATAAATAATATTTCAATTCAAAACGTTGTTTTTAATAGCTACTTATTTTTCATAAACCGTAACAAAAAGAAATTAAAACAAAATAAATTGCTCACATTGGATGCCTTTATCGCTTATGTCACCTTAAATGCAGTGAACCCATACCAGAAGTATCATTGCAGTATTGTGCTTTCAGTTGAAAGATGTGTCCAATTATACCACTTATTTTCCAGAAAATAATATTTCTAGGTAACGTACAATAAACTATATACATAGCATATAAGCTAGCTTACAAATAAAGATGAAAGAAACATAAAATGAAACATGCCCAATCCTAAATCCTACGAACGAGCTAACAATGACGCAACATAATACTGTAACTATTTATTTGTATATATTTTCATTCTATATTTGATCCTTGACACAGATACTATTTTTCAATAATACACCAAGTACTTTGCAATTGGGTCCCAAAGTGATTTCTTTTTTTTATATAGAACGGGGGGCAAACGGGCAGAAGGCTCACCTGATGATAAGTGATACCGCCGCCCATGGACACTCTCAATGCCAGAGGGCTCGCGAGTGAGTTGCCGGCCTTTTAAGAATTGGTACGCTCTTTTGTATAATATCAACATCTGTGTGGTTCTTTCCTCAAAAGACCATTTCAGACTGCAATCTACATGGTCTTCACATGATCTGACCAAAATTATGTCTGGACTTAAAAAGAGACTGTGACCTCTGAGTTTGTTTCGGCGTCTCTTCTCAGAGTAGTCAGATAGGAAACGTCGAACTCATCTAGTTTTAAAAAAAAATATGCTTGTCGTGTAAAAGTGTTTGTACAAACCTACTTACAGAAAATAAATCATTTATCATTTAACAGTTTCGTGATGTTTGAAGCCATTTTAGCGCCTCAAAATGATGTAATTTAAAGAATGTTTTGGGACAGTAAGACCCACAATAACTTGCAAAAAATCCTCGAAACAGTGCGTCGACCTTTGAAAACACCAGAATTTTGTATTTTACAATGTTCTACCAAGACACCACAGCGAGAAACAAAAATAATGCAACAGATGTAAGTGCCATGCTGACTCACGTTGTTTCCATTCTTTGCTGCGTTCTCGAGCGCTTGAGAGAGCTGCGACCGCGTGCGTACAACACATATTAATAATTGCATACACGAGCGATATACGTCAATTTTGCTTACACTTACGATTTGCGTATTACATTTATTTGTACATATTCATAATTTCAAAAACCGTGTTAATATTCGGACATATACTTTAACATTACTTTCAGTTGTATTGGCTCAATATGTACAAAAAAATGTAGCAAACGATTTACATAATTTCATTTCAATCCTCAACAGGGCCTTGAGATCTCTTTATCGAAATTTATTTTGGAAAAGTTCCCGGAAACGAAAGGCCCAGTTGTTTTAGGATTTCCGAATAACGTTTTCGAAAGATGATCCTCCGTTTAAAACTTTTAATATAGAATCATTATAGACGTGTTTATTTTGTTAACTAAACTTTTTGAAGTTTTCTCCTCGCTCGTGAAAACAATCTGATTAAAAGCTGAGCACATCGAGTTATTTGTATGTTCAATGACACGAACGCATTAAGATATTCCGCGGCATTTTTTTGTTAGTAACGATATTAAAACAGCGAACAGCTTCGGTTAGTTAGCCATTTTCGTTTGATACGGTAATATAAGGATATACGAGGACCTTCTATACTATAATTAAACAAGTAGGTTGCATGTAAAGCCTTTATCTATATCAAATTTACATTTAATTTTTCAAAATCAAATTATTTCAAGACGCATATATACAACTCAATAGTGTTATTATTAAAAATATATCTGTTCCCGCTGTTTAATCTGCGTAATTTAAAACACATATCATAAGGAGGAGTGTGATGCTTGAGATTATTATATTGAAAAGTTATTTTAAAACTCTGAAAATCTAATTATATCAAGGACAATTTTTTTCAAAGTTAAATATTTATGATGTACACTGTATTTGCTTACCTATCCAAGCAAAAGTTTATAAAAATAGTAACTGAAATAATAACTTATTTTAGAAAATAAAAACGTCATAATACTCGACTCCGTTGAACTAATAGTTTTTGTTATACTATTAGTAAAATATCATTGGTAACATTGAGCCAAGTTAAGTAAGGTCAAAAATAAATGTACTGTTACGCCTGGGTTTTATTGAACAGGAAAAATAATCACCGCCCCTGAAATCACACGCTATAGCATTCGAAGTTATTAAAAAATCGTAATTCCTAATAAAGGTCATCGTACACCTTACATTACCAAGTGGATCTACCGTACGCGTTAAGCAGACGCAACAATAATGGAGGATATCTTCTCACCACGCAACGCCCCGATTCTTGATCGTACTCGTCCTGCCCTTGCAGTGACGATACGAAATCAACGACATACCGAGTCGCGTTGCAAATCGTTTGTAACGCGTCGCGTCGTGAGAAAGCACCCTGAAATCACATTCAACTTATAACTGTTGCACTTCTGTGGACCTTGTTCTTCCCGCAGTCTCATTTTTAATGATAAAATATTTTAAAAAGGATGATAAATTAGGTGAAAGTAAATATGTAAAGTAAGAAAGGACCGGATGAAAAATCAAGAAAAATCATTGAAAAAACGAAATAAAAATAGATATAATGCATCTCTATAATCAAACTCGAAACTTAAAGATTTATGAAAAAAAAAAACTTTACGACGTTCGTTTAAAAAGTATAAAAAACATAATTATACATGAGACCAGATGAAATCAACCACTCTTCGAAAAAAAAATGAATGAAATAGAAAAATATATTTAAAAAATTCCACGTACTTAGAAATGCAACAATTATAATTCGTTACAGTGTGGTATTTGCGCCTGCGTTCTAATGCTCGCTGTTGTCTAAGCAGTGTTCTGTGAGCGTAAACTTTCCTATCTCATTGTAATCCTGTTTTAACGTCAAAATCAAAGCTGTCAAACTAAAGTGTACTTTACGCTAAGTGGATAAGGCACAATATTGTATACCTGTGAGAAATTTGGTACCGAAGCCGTTTTGCGCATAGTGACTGGTTGGCCGCGTGCTTGTTCCAATTCCTTAACAGCAACACTTTGCCGCAGACGATCCAGAGTTAGAATACTCTCAACTGCGCTTACGCCACGCGTGTATTTTTCTGAAATTTTTATAGGAACACATATAAATAGCTACAGTATTAAAAACTGATTATTTATTTATTTATTTAAATATTAGTAATCTTACATCATACATATTATAAAACAAAACACTTACACAATATAGAAAGCCAAAACAGATTACATAGATAAACAACATATATGAAACAGAAAACAAGTAAGTACATTAATAGACAAAAATATATTAATTTTTTTTAAATTAAAACTGAAATTTAAAACAACAAATATTACTTAATATTTCAAAGAATAAACCAGAGTAGTACTGCTTAAACAAAATCAAAGTCTTCGAATATTCTCTTTGGTGAGGTAGAAAATATAAATATCCTGATAATAAGTGTCATAGACAAAAACCCCGAAACATTGGCGAATAATGCAGGTAATTCGAGTTCGTAAGAGGCACATGGAACAATTGGATCTTTTTTTTTTTTTTTTTTTTTACAAATAATATAGTGAATAGTCGCATAAGGTGTACCTCCACCTTCTAAGATAAATAAATGAAAGAATTAAGTATTACAAAAAATATGTGGTATATATCTCAAAAATTACTCAACCGATTTTGTTGAATGTTGGACTGTTAAATACTTAAAATCAGTTTTTTCGGAGAAAATTGTAGATAAATAACATACACGCCTAATTAGATGATAAATATCATAGTAAAATACTATGATGATGTATTATAAGGGATATTTATCCCATATCAAAATATCAGTCAAGTCAAACTGATAACCTTTTCTGAAATATTTTTTATATACATATTTTTTCATACCAATATAAGTCTCTCCATCAGCTGCACTGGCTTCCTCTCCCGTAGCAACGATTTGCGCCAAGCTCTCTCTTTCCTCCAACTCTTCTGACGCCTTCGGAATGTTTGATACGACTTCGTATGTAACACCAGTTTGAGTTAGTTGATCCACTCTGTAAGCAATTTCATGAAATTTCAATTTTTTTTTAAAACCACCTAAAACCCCCCCCCCCTTAAAACCAATCACACCCAATCGACCTAGTCCCATCTAACTGGTGAAGCTTGTGTTATGGGTACTAGGCAACGTTACATACATATTATAGATAGATAGACGTATAAATACATATTTAAACACCCAAGACCTAAGCACAACACCAAATGCTCATCACATCGATGTTCGTCTCAGCCGGTGATCGAACCCAGGACCCATGGATTCGCAGTCAGGGATACTAACCACTAGGCCAATGAGTCGTCAAATTTAACTAAGTGAATCTACACCAAATTTTTTTAACCCTTTAGTCGGTCAAATGGTTTATCTAGAAAATGCAGACAAAATTAAATTAATTGTATATTTCCAATCATTATATTAAAGTTAATCAATTATCGAATATCTTTGCTGATTTCGCTCCTTTTTTTAAACGTTTATTTAAAATAAAACCTAGGAATTTTAGGTACAAAATATCAGCTATAAAAACATAATTAATATTAAAATTAATCGATCAAATATCTTTGCTAGAAAGTCTTAAAATAAAGTACATATATCTTTGTGTTAAGAACGGGAGCTTTGACAATACGTAAGTTAATAATGGAAAACATTGAGAACAATTAATTACATCGAATACCTGACGATTTTCTTCCGTATCCGATCGGTGAAACTTTGTCGTTTGTAGATGTTGAGTGCGAGTCGCTTGCGCAGAATAAGCTCCATAGGCGCTGGGTGCGACAACCGCACTGTCGTTTTGAGTATGAGATATACCCGTTCATTTGCTGTAAAAATTAAGATATTCTATAGACAAACTTTTTAACTTTTAAACCTTTAGCTGGACTATGGGGATTTGACGTCAATATTAAAACTTCATTTACTGATAATTCAAAAATAAAAATAATTTTAGAAAAACTTATTAATTAGTGCAATAATTTGACAAATAAAAGCCGCTTTTTCGTCAGGTTGTCCATCGACATTGGCCGACTAGTGCTATTCCCATTTAAAATACTACGTTACTAAAGAAGAGTTATTAGTTTTTGGCCATTCTTTCGATTGCCATCATAAAAGTAGGGTTTTTTTTCACATAAGTCGGTTCGATTCCCAGACGAGGCAAGTATTTTTTAGAAAATCTTTAAATGCAGAATTACTAACTTTTAAAAATAACAAAGTCTTCTTTCAGTAAAATACCCTATCTACGATATTTAAGGTACTTTTCCTTCATGTCCCATAACTTTCGGACGCCCTGTATATACGACTTTGAGAGACTGGCACGGCACTCCTCCTGGAACGCACTCACGGCAACGATGTGTATATGGGCGGTATCAGGTAGAACTGTTGCCCAATTATTTATTTAAAAATATGCGTATACGCCGCTATACGTACGTTCAGTAATCCTGTTGAGATATTGCGAGTCGTGAATGGAGGAATCCCATGCGGCCACCGCAGACACATCTTTATGGTGGTGGTGGACAAGTTGCAACTCGTAGAATCTGTTCCCATGCTCTTTCGGTAGAATGGAGTGAAAACCCGCCATAGATACTTCCTCGCCAGAACCGTGTGTTGTTAGATCGTCCGCTATAAATGAAAATAAATTGTTAACTAAATTTAAAATTTTGTATAGTATTGTGGATTACATAGGCATTGGTTGGTTGAGAGGTTTTAAGTGGATTATAACTTTTTTTTCACGTTTTTTATATATTATTTTGAACTTAAAATTATAAATTTCCAGGCCATTTTATACTTGACACAGAACGAACATACCATTTAAATCCAGAAACAGCACAGGTATATGCTGCTCCATTCCAGACGGTGGGTTCCAAGCAGCTGGTGCTCCTGGAATAGGACTTCCGGGGCTAGGGACCAGCACAGCATTCCTTTCTTCAGTTAGGGACACCCATTGCTCGACTAACGATTGCTCCCTTTCCATATCTCGCTCGCTTTTTAGTGAGGGAGACATGTTCACTAGTTTCTGTAAGACGATATTTTTGTAAATAAAACTTAATTTATAAGTAATAAGGACTTTTATTGCAATACACAAATTTGGTCTTGCAATAAAAAACTCCGAAACAAAAGTTTATTAGATCATTTCAATAATTAAGATTTTATGGGTTGAATATGAGTAGTTTAAACTAGTGGCATTAATGTGTTTCAATTTAAATGATTAAAAGCCTGTTAAATATATATGAATGGTGTCAGCGACGAAAGCTGTTATCGCAGTTATTGACGGACGGAATGTCTGCTACTCGATTGTGAGAAAGTTGGATTCAAAAAATTCAAAAATCATTTATTCACGTAGGTAACACAATGTACACTTGTGATTCGTCATTAAAGAAATACATATTAATGCTTCTAATTTTACATTTACTGCCAGTTCTCAAATCAAGGGCGTAGAAACGGAAGAGAAGAACTGGCAATAAACTCTCCACCACTCTTTTTAATCGCCATGTTTTTGAATTTTTGAATTTTTTTGAATTGTGAGAAAGTTGGATTCGTCGTAAGCACTGTGCGATAATACACTAAATAAAAACACATGTCAGAAGTCAAACTTCTTTGGCAAACTAATTTTTAAGTCTTGTTCATATTTATACAAATCTAAAACTTTAGATATAGAGAAGTCTCGGTAGACTTACGAGGGAGGGAAAAAGGAAGATATGTTAGGAATTTAATTGTCATAAAAATATTAAAAGTGTCGAGAAAATTATCTAATACAAATTACAAATTACAAATTTATTGCTTCGATAATTAAAACACGCATTTCAATTTACAATTCGTAATTTGAGATTTCAATAAATTATTTTGCATAAAATATAAAATACTAAGATTACTTAAATTCTCTTTACGAAATTTTAATTTAAAAAATAGAATTTCTAAAAGGTAATTCGCTCTTCTCACTCTCTCTCCCTTTTCTTCGACAAAAACGCTGCACATCTTCGTGAAGCTAATATTCCCATTTCTCACAGGAATTTACAACAAATTAAATACATGATGATTTTTAAACAGAAATTTTATTAGGAAAATATTTTTAGCAAGACACTTAAGAATTTTAGTAAATTGAATCTACATACCTGCAATTGTGCGTGCAAATGTTGTCTTCGTCTAGCGAGCGCTTCACTCCATCTCTCTCTGAGGATAGCCAAATCCTCCTCTTGGTACGAGTCCAATGGTTTCTGTAGACGTGATCTGTAATTTACAATAATTATTTATATATTTGTATTATATGTGCTAGGCGTATTTTAGCATCACTTTTAAAGTTAATTATATTAAATTTACCCTTGCAATTCGAAGATATAACATAGTTACAATAACAATAATAAAAAGATATTCCTCACCTAACAGTAACTGATCCGACTTCAACACTGACAATATGTTGGCAAATGATTGGCAAAGTTCCAGAATTAGCTGCGGGTCGTACGCGCACGGCTAGTCGTCGTTGCTGCCCTTGACGCAACTGGTATACGCCCCCGGTCAGTATATCCGGGCGTAGCGCCACCTAGACACGATTATAATTTATTTATTATTTATTTAATTATCACGCACGTATTTTCCGAAGGGTAGGCAGATACCACAGATATCCACTCGCTACGATATATCCACTTGATTCACCACGTATGCTCTTAATGTTACTTATAATGAATGTTATACATAAAACCGGTAATCAAGGTACTTACATACAACCGGTAATTTAAACAAAACTACGGAACGAAACAAACATAATAAGGCTGTTTTAATAAAATTGCTGCAAGTGTTCGAAGATGACAATGCGTCAATAATTTCGGATTCTAAAATCTGGTCTGATCTGTATGCACGAGTCGTACAAAAAAATGTCAGATGCGCGTTATTTTAAAATATCTTATTTTGAATATTTCATGCAATTCAATTTTACGAAGTTTATCCTTATATTAATATTTATCTAATTTTGTATAAAAGATAAAATATGGTATGTAGTATAAAAAATCAAGAAGCAAAATAAATAACTAGACACATAACTTAATGTTACTAAAATAGCTTTATAATAAATAGGACAAATTAGGAACTCTAATGTAAAAACCCTCTGCGTTAATACATTTGTATGACAAAACTTAGTTTAGCCAGCCACCACTGGGGGCGCTGAAAGATTGTTCATACTTAAACGAGGTTTCACGCTAAGAGCTATGACATTAAACGTGGGCTCCTTTTTATAGTAAAGCTTCATGTTACGTAAGCTAAAGTCACTTTATTAATAAATCTTACCTCAACAGGCGCATACTCCCCCTGATCGTTCAATTCATGTATTTCGACCCAAAGTTCAATTTTCCGAGTAAGCTCCGCCCATCGATCGGCTAACGAGCGAGCTTTTGCCAATTGTTGAGCTTCCACTTCCCAGTTACCGACCGTTCGGCTAAAACCGGCCGAACGGTGGCCCCATACTTCGATTGATAGAGCGCCCTCTGTAAGAGAATATGAAGGTAAAATTAATAAAATTTAGTCCTATTTTATTCCAGAGCAATGTAGCTTAAATTGATGTTGAGGCCAAAAAAGTCAATAATAATAATTAAGTTTTCTTAGCTCCCTTTTGTCAATCTTATGTTAGTATTTGAAATTTGGTTAGGAAAAGGATTGGTATCCTAATATGACTCTTAGCAAATTGTTAATTATTTTGAGTGGGTATTGCAATGGTGTCCGTCTTACTTGTTAAGGTATATTTTACAATGCGCCAAAATGAATTGGTTAACTAAACGGTACATAATTCTTACAAAAAACTATTTCTTACTGTACACAACTCAAGGAGGGTTATTATAAGTTATGTATTCAAAAAAATAATATTTTTATAAAGAAACTTTAATAATCAAAAGGTTATTGAATTTAAACGTAAAAGTATAAAAGACAAGCCATAATATAAAAACCGCTATGGTTAAAAAAACTGTTTATTTAAAACTTTATCTTAACCTAAAAACTCACCCGCACAATGCTCAATAAACTCTTCAGTAAGTGGTATTATGAAGTCTTGGCGATGATCAAAGCGGAATGTGAGTAATTGGTGTCTCGGTGATACAGTTGTCAAAGGCGCTGGCGGTGTATCGGCGGAGACTTGTGGGGGAACGACTACGGGCTCCCCGTTACCCCATACGGAGTATTGGCAGAAGACGAAGTTAGATAGTGATGGTGGTAGGCCACTAGCTTGCTTTATTACCACGCGGATTGTTACCTATAAATTACATGTAAAACATTATATTCCTATGTAACTTAAGGAAGGAACTTAGTTTAAGGAATCGTATGCCAATATGTATTTTTATATCGAACTGGACAACCGGACTACACAATAACAAAAACCTACAAACTGGCACACACATACAGTATTTTATAGTCTTATATATAATACATATTTTAGTTTTTTTTTTTTTTAAATTCGATTTTTATATAAATATCTTGTTTAGTCTGAAAGTCTTTATTTTACATCCATTATTGTTTATATAAAAATCATTAAATGTTTGATACAGTCATTAACTTTGATCTGGTATTGTTTCTGGTCACCATAACATATATATGAAGTGTGGGGACTAGCGTCTGTATTGGTTACGTACCAAATATGTCATTTTTTAAATAAATAAATTATGAAATATATATATGTGAATTTTGTTCTAGACTTGTTTGATTATCGTATTTCTGACTTTTATATGTCACCATCACATCATAATCCAGTAGAGCTTATGTTGCTTTTTAAGAAGCATTTATATTATATAAGGGATTCAATATTTTTAGATTAAAACCTTTTCGCTATTGAAACAATTATCACTCCAAACCAAACTGGATATCTCCTGACTAAACTGATCACACTACACATATAAATCACAACAGTAGTACTATTAAACTATGCTATACTATTACCCTTTGAGTTAAAAAAAAAGAAGATAATGTCTTAAAATTTGTTTTTTAATATAGAGATGTTTGAAATCTAAAGAAAGCATACTTGTTGTGTCTGTGGATCGATTGGTTCATCATCATCTCTCATATCACCAGAGCTGTCGGAAGCTGCTTCGCAAATACGGTCTTGAGGAAACTGGCCGGAAACTCGACTTATTTCAACCTAAAAGAAATAGCGAAATATTTTTTTTTTAATTTTTTTTTAATAAATTTATTACTGTGACAATGTATATTATATATAATAATCCAATAATGTATGAATGTTATAATTATATTAAATAAAACTTTTCCAAATAGTCTAAGCTAAATTGATGGCAAAACGTTATTATTATATTATTCATTGAATATATATAAACTATTAATATAAAAGTTGTAATTAAATTATAATTTATTTCAAGAATACTCTCTTTTCAAAAAGAGTGGCACCTTTATACCAGCTTACCTGTAATCTACCAGCTACTTCTCCCTGTTGACTTATAATAGGCGTGTGATAGTCGAGAGTGACGTCATGGAATAGAGCCTCCAAGAAAACATTCGCCACACCAATTAAATTGTGATTCTCTTGCGACTCGTAGAATGGATCCAAGGCTTTTTCCTCTTGCTCCTGCGTGTACAAATAAATTTAAGATATCCTTAATTTTATAACAATGGAATAAAACAGTAAGTGTATAACTCCATTGGGCCCGTTCAAGTATCACGTAAGCACTATTGGGGGGGTGTCTTTGATTTTCTTATTTGGTGATTACGTCAACAGTAATTATTTACTTTTTTACACATATTACCCAGACATGCTTGAACTCGAAATGCATTTTCGAGGATTCCTATAAAACTTTATACGTTTATGTACTATTAATTTTGAGAGGACGAATTGCAGTATGCTTACGTAATACTTGAACAACAAACATACTATTTTTACTAAATTTAAATCAAAACATTAATTAACGGAAAATCGCTCGGAAATACCCTTAGAAACTTGTTAAAGAAAAACCCTAGGTGAAATCTAAAATTGATTGTGATTCTCCTCCATCTCTAGTCCAATCACAGACACGCGATACGATTTATAGTTTCGTGAATCGAATTTACGCGCCTTCATTTCGTCTTTTGTTTTATTACACGCTTTATATTAGTTTCATCTGTATGTATGTATGTATATAACCGACTCCTTCGGACTCGATTTTGACCCACTTTTAACGGACAGATTTAATTCAAACTTTGCGCAACTGTCAAAGATCGATGACAATGCAATAATCCGAAAAAAAAATTAACTAAAAAATAAAAAATTAATAATAGTTTAAAAAAACTAGAACACACGCTTTTAAAGCACATCAAACTAAAAAGTGAAAAATAATTCCTAATTTAGGCTGAAAATGGTAATGAACAAAAAATACTGGTATTATTGTGAAAAAGCGTGGGTTGCTCGATAGACGAAAAATATGGCACAGAGCATTTTGTAATTCTTGTGCATTTTTTCCTTAAACAAGCCCAAAAACACAGTTCCAAACACAAAACGCAAAGAAAGACTAAGCGAAAGACTTCATATTTTTAGCACTACAACGCACCGTTGGTGTATCCACGTCTATTTGAGCTGCGTCCTGGAATAATAATAACATAATGTATGTGCTTTTCATATTAGTAAAGATTTCTAATGAATATTATGAAATAACGAGCACAATATTAAATTATTTCATAGAATACGTATAGACGTATCAACGGACGTGTGCGCGATCGTGCTCGTTTGGATTTTTTTTTATTTATTTCGGAAACAAAACAGATACATCTCTATGCAATAAAAAAAAAGTTTTACAATAAATTAAACACATCGGATAAAAAAAGATGATATTGTCTAAGTAAGCAACTGTATTGCTTGTACATAATTTGCTTATATGCAGTGTGAACTTAGCTTTAGGTTCATAAGCACAAGCGGAACAACAATTTCTAACTAGCAACTACATTATGATTAATTAATTAATTTCTAGGATTAGGTATAAGAAATCAATGCTACAAATAGAACTTTCAATTGTGACATATCAAATAGTATTATTATTAACTTCTAACCGGTACATACGGATTCAACTAAGCGTTATCCTATCCGAGCAATAAATTACATGGGCCTGTATTAGGCTCAGACTGTATTTAGAATAAATCTTATTGGGGTAAAGTGATTAAACTGGCGCAATAATAAGTATTTCCTTACATCAATATCATCCTCTGCATGTTGTCTATGCCGCCACTCGTCATACATATCACGCATGTCAACCAATTTGTTCTCGAGCTTCTCCATAGACCACACTTGGGCCCCTCGGGTCGGTCGCTTCGCCATAATAGCTGGTTCTGATACGAACGCGCCACGCTGAAATTAATAAATCAAAGTTTAATAGAAAACTTAAAAAAAATTGACGGACAGTAGGTTTATTATAATATATAAGTATGTAGTAAAATGGCAATAATAGCTCAGTCTTGACCTAGTAGTTCCAACGTGCGTCTCTCATTCCTGAGGTCGTACGTTCGATCCCCGACTATGTACCAATAGAACGTAAGACATAAGTCTATGTGCACGTTTAACACTCGCTCGTACGGTGAAGGAAAACATCGTGAGAAAACCGGCATGCCTTACAATTAAAAAGTCCACAGCCTGTGTCAGACACAGAAGGCTGATACCCTACTCTTCTATTAAGAAAAATAAATGATAACGAAACAGATACCGTTTTTTACAAAAGGTCTGGGCCGTTTAAATTCAGTAAAGTAAAAATGCGTTCTATTTCCAGAAAAAATTATGATAGAAATTTATTTGATTATTCGATAATCCATTTTTCATATGTAAAACACATACAAATACAAAAGAATTTTTTTTTATATATCTCTCATTATATTTTTTATTTAATTTTTTTTCTTATTTTTTGATTATTGTTATTTTCTGTCTGTCTAAATATTAATATACATACAATGATTACCTTTCTATTAGGACTCAAGTTCTGCGGCGGTATTTGCAATGTGACACTAAACCTGGTGTTCCTTCTCATCTCTTCAGCGAGGAAATTGGCTTCTTGCACCAACGCATTGGCCCTCAATATATCAGCTTTAAGCCGCCCTATAGACCGTTTGAACGTGTCGTCTCTTTCAGCGGCCCAGCGCTCGACTCTTGCGGCTGTTGTCGGTGTACATGCGGTCATTTTGCCTGAAAACAATAATTATATCGTCACCGTACAATGCTAACCTCGTATGTCCAAAGTACCAAACATTACAAGAAACGAAAAACAATGTTTCATTTCGTCAATGTTCGTTAAAATATTCTTTATGTGTTTTTGCCCATCCTGACTTATTTATTAATAACATAAATAAGTCCTTACTTCATGATTATACCAGTTAAATGACAAGAGTCTAAGAATAAAAAATAAATGGTTTTTTGACATACGGGGTTTGGGTTATCATTCTACGGTGACGATATATAGAATTACTATATAGCGACGCTAAAGACATGACGCATTTTTTAGAAAATTGTTATATGAAAAAAAAATCGATGGACTGGAAGTCCAGGAGTTTGACGTTTGAACATATGACGTTACATTAACTTAATGATGAGGCCTCAAAAGCCTAACCATCAACTAAGTTCAATATAAAATTTGTGAAAAACTAGCATTGACTCGATACATATAAATGTCACAAACATGAGAAAATATTATGTAGATTGAAAAAATATTACTGAAAATATACTTTTAAAAAAAGCATAAAATTATAATATTACCTAATTTCAGTGGATCATACGAATACGGCGGATAAGGTGTGGAAGGAGATAGTATATTCCGTAGCTGCTGGAACTGTCTTTCATACTCTTGTCTTTGTTTTTCGAGTGCAACTGAAAATTAAATAGTTGAATTAAATATTGACCATTTAATAACTCTTTAATCTATTAGAAACACCATATACAACAACAAGCGGTCTGCCCGGCTTCGCTTTAATTTATTTTTTTTATATTTTGAAAATAAATATAGCCCATGTTACTTCTGGATTGTTTGGAATTTTTGTCTTAAACGATGAAGCGGGCACGAGCAGTGTTGGCCTAGTGGCTTCAGCGTGCGACTCTCATACCTGAGGTCGTAGGTTCGAGCCCCGGCTGTGCACCAATGGACTTTCTTTCTATGTGCGCATTTAACATTTGCTCGAACGGTGAAGGAAACCGACATGTCTTAGACCCAAAAGTCGACGGCGTGTGTCAGGCACTGGAGGCTGATCACCTACTTGCCTATTAGATTTAAAAATGATCATGAAACAGATTCAGACATCTGAGCCCAAGACCTAAAGAGGTTGTAGCGCCACTGATTTTTTTTAAATCGATGAAACGTTCCTCTCTGTGATATTAGTATGGATGAAACTATTTATACACATGTTCACTATCATACTGATGATTAAAATATTACACAATTGACAACTTTGTCCTCGGTTTTTTTAAGTCAGTTAAAAACAAGTTTTAGAGATTACGTTTATAAAGGCTTTGTATCACTGGATGGTAAATTTTGTTAATGGATTTATATTTACTATCTATTCTAATATATATTATGTATTCTAATTAGTAATCAGAACTGTATCCACGTTTAACAGTATTATCTGAATTTTTACACCTTAATATTTCTGTAAAATATAATTTAAAAAAAAAAACATTATGAATCTATGTGTATGTAATGTACATAATGAATGTAAAACATTATGAATACAAAAGAGTAGTTTTATAATTATTTTTTTACTGTATGCTTAAGCTGTAAGCCAAATTTTAACTAGAAATATTATAAAACTATTATTTTAAAAACATTACATTAGCAAAGTTTAAATAATACTGTTTTTTTTGTATGCGCAATAGAATGTTGAAATTGTTTCAACACTGATAAAAGTTAAAAGTTAGTGGACTCAGTTTCTGCACTTAGACTCTCACTAGGTCCGTTGTGCGCAAAGTCCTGGCTAACTAAGCCAGCCTAGCTCCTTCCAGAAGCACAAAAGAAGAAGAAAACAAGAAAAGAGGTCTCCTGGGACTTCGCTGGCTACACAGTGCGACCTATCTGCTCTAAGGATTACAATACGTTATTTCAATACTGTAAACTATAACAGGTACATATATTATATAATATACTAGATATTCCGTAGTCTTTTTTTTATATCTAATATCACATAGATGAAAATGTATGCTTAGTTAAATACCTTGTTTATCCTCCTCGTGTTGTCTCTCGAGTCGTGAGATAGCAGTTTGTATAGGATCGTTGCTAAGTTCATTCAGCATTATCTCATCACGCGCGAAGTTGTAATCTATCGGCTGCGCAGGAGTTTGGGGTTCTGATGACGTCGCTGAAATAATACGGTATGAGGGTAAAACATGTTTTTCTATGTAATTTTTGCTCTTCTAAACTAATCGTGATTTGCTGTTTAAAATTGCGGCAGCGAAAAAGTTGGTCACCTACTTATGAAGACAAAAATGGTACAAAAACAGATACTGAAATCTGAGGCCAAGATCACGGGTTGTAGTGACTCTGGCTTTTTCTTAGCGATCTTAAGATGCAGAGAGTTGTCGACTACCCCATGTTAATCCAATAATACATTTACGACATTTAAATACTTAGCTTACAGGAGCACAAAAATCAAAAAGCACTTACTCATCTCATTATTATCCTTAGGACAATTCACTCTAAAGAAATGATGATTTCCCCACAGTATCCTATCGGCGTGTCCTAACTTCACCCTGGACACAACAGGTGTACCATTCACGAAACACCTGGCTGCACTAACTGGTTCCATGTTCAGAGCGCCATTTTCAACGACCAAAAGGCAATGCTGCGGCTGTATTCCAAGCCCTGACAGCTGGATATCTGCCGATCTGTCTGCGCCTACTAAAGTTCGCTCCTGGAATAAATAAAGTTTATAAGCACGGCAGCATATCTCTATTGAGATTTATCTGCGATGGAGATGAGCGCATGAGCTTGCGCACACGCAGGTGTATTTTCTTACTGTTCCGTAGCTGATGGGAACGGACATGTCCGATTCGTCCGAGGCTATACCGTACACAGGTCATGTGCAGGATCCAGTTTGGCGTGTGTCCGGCATGAGCATTATTGAGCTTCTGGACTAGCATATTTTTTGATATGCGAAAAGCATTTGACATGGTTGATACTGATGTGTTCTTGCAGAAATTGGCAAAAGTTGGCTTTACCGGATTATTGATTCGATTTTTTGGTAATTCACATGACAGATATGGAGCAATATGTTCAAAATGCTGGCATTAAATATAAAACATCTGGCGTGACACAAGGGAGCATTCAGAACCTTTAAATTTAAATTTGTTAATGGTAAATGATCTACCCGGAGTAGTAGAAGATGCAAAATGTTTGCTATTAGGGGACGATCCTTAATTATCACTGCCGATAAATATAACAGCAGGTTATTGAGGAGGTAGTCAATTGGTGTAGGAAAAATCGACTGCAGCTTTATTCTGAGAAATATGCTGATTTATTTTATAATGCATTTGTTAGGAGCCACTTGGAATGTAACTCAATGATTTGGGCTCATAAGAAAAAAAATACTATATAATGGTGGATGGAGCGTATTCAGAATAAATTTACGAGATACATTTACATGAGGTAGTATGCAGTGTACCCATTTTCTCATCTGCCAGGGGTGCATGAAACTAGTAGCGGTCGCAACTGACTTGTAATAACTATCAGATCTGTTAAACTAAATAATTTTTTGAAGTTATACTTCTTTTGGCGCGTTAGATGAAAATGATGAGTAAATTTTTACGATACGCACGCACACCATCACAAAATACCGACACCCTGAAGTTAGCTATAGTTAACATTTTAGTTTTTTCTATTGTTAGTGTCGTTTTTTCTACAAACGTAGAATAAAATTGTTAAAACGATTTTTATCATGTTACGCAAAAGAAGTATAACTTCTAACGCGTGTACATAAGTACACACACTTTTTTACCACAAAGAAGGCATGATTTCAATCATTAAAATATTCAAAAATTCACTTACTTTAAGATAATACACGAGCAATTCATTAAGCGAAGGGTCCGCGTTAAGATTAACCAGATAGAACTTGTTCTTCTCCACTTTGATCCCACTCGCCTGTACGCTTATACCCATTTTTTCTAACGCATGTTGACGCTCGCTTTGTACGCGACCTGAAATAAACATAAATTAATTATAAACTTACCAAATTCCAGGTAAAAGCTCACACACTACAAGTGTTTATCAAGAAAGCCTCACGTCGCGAGACTTCGACAAATAAGTTAAAAATTTATGTATCATTTGTTGTATTCATTTATTTATCAAATTTATTCACCTGTTTCGACTAGTTTCTCCTCCCATGTTCTTGACATTTCTTTCATGAGATGTTCACTTTGCGCCAATTTCTCGTGAACATCCTCTCCAACTGGTGAACCCTGGTATAAAATATATATATTATTAAATTTTTCAATGAAGATTACCGTAAATTTAAAATATTTTACGGTCAAAATATTAGCCATGAAATATAATATTTTGCCATTAAACCTATATTTCCTTTACATATCACGTTAAAAATTGAACCATAGCATTTTTGGCTCATTAGTTTGTACGTTTTTCAGTTCTTGCAAACTATTATTTTCAATAGCTTACTCTATCAAACTCATAGTATACCTAGACAATCAGTCTGTTTTTTTTTAAATATATAATCATATTTTCCCAGAAATCTTAGAAAATTCCCAGTGACAAAGTTATTTTAAATAAAGTAAGAAATATCATTTAGCTGCATCAACAAACTTTAGCCACATAATTCGTTCGTGTCTTACATATTTACATATTCCTATACAAATATCTCTAGAATCTAGTCTTTGAGATCTTTTTGTACTTCGTGTCTCGAGAACGATCCATACGTGACCTCTTTTATCAAGGGCTCGCGATAAACCTTGTCATACTTTCTTATTTTTGCCTTTATATAAAATCTTATTGAGAAATATGTGTCGTACCACATCACATAGAAAGCTTTAATTTACTATTAACACAAGAAAAAAAATCTAAAATATTTAAACCAAGATATTGATATTTTCATAAACAAAATACTCAATTTCAACTAAATTGATTATGTTAGAAACTTTTCCCAGAGAACGTTAACGGCCATAACCAAGTTAAAATTGAATGCACGATTAATTATCGATATCGCGTAGTGTCCGGTCTGTTCTCTAATGATCTTATGAGAATGTTGACTTAATAGCCTTAATAATTATTAAACTCTTAATTATGACTCTGAGAATGGCGGTTCTTACTGAAATTGGACACTATGTTATAAAAGAAACCATATGTTACACACGAATAAAATGTATACGTGGAAAACATTACGTGTAACTGAACGCTCGTAGCATATACGTCGTAGCAACGCTACGTTACTTACCGTAGCATACTTGAGCATTTCCTTGAGTGCTTCGACTTCCTGTCGTAGCTCACGTATAATTCTCGCGTTGGGATCCTCATTAACGACCGCATGGTTAACGATACGTTTAGCTCTGTCTGCGTAGCGAAGCGTAGACAATGTTTCTTCATAGTTGTCAGCTGCAGGCGAAATTGTAGCTACCTGTAAATATTACATAGTATTGTAATTTGTTATATTAAATTACTGTTAATGCTTTAACCCTTTGTTTAATAAAACACTATTTTGACCGGATTGAAGTTATGTATTATTATAAATTTACAACTATTTAACATAATTTTAAATTTATCCGACGTTTCGCGTGCTTTACAGCGTGCGTGGTCACCGTGACCGTGTTTTATTAAATGAATAAAAGTTATGTTAATCAAAGACAATACTATTAACCTTTGTTACATTACCACCTCTAATTTATGACAAGCTGTGCCCCGTAGCGTTATGTTATATAGCCTTATTTCACCCTAAACAAATAGACTTCCAAACATAAGTACGTAGATTACCGCTATCAAACTCACTCTTAAACTTTACAATACACAGACCGAACAAAGCAAAAAATATGAAGACAATATTACGCACATTTCCTAAAATTTTGATTATACAAAATAAATTAAACTGGTTGATTGTATGTTATACAATCACCGTTTAAAATAAGTTTATGTAAATTTAAACTTACCATAACAGTCTTACTGTTTCCACCAAGGTTGTCCTTCAAAAGCCAAGTTAAGACTGAATCTCTGTATGGAACGAATTTGTCCTTATTATTTTTACCAGACGACTGATCTGCTAATTTTGATATCACTAGGCCGAGCGTTGTTAGTGACCTGTAACAAAAGCAATCAATCGTTATGATATTGAAAATTTACATACCATATACTAATGCGAGCTATACTAACATATAGTACAGCTAATATAAATTATTACTGATATTGACTCTCTCAGTCGAACTTATATCTGAGTATCGTAGGGTCTGGAATATTTTTTCTCCACTGATTTATGTCCCGCGCTTCTTTTATGACAGTATGTAATTTTTATGACGACAAGTCTCTGTCTTGTCCATCACTTTGGCGAACCACCAAAATAAAAAAATCTCGATATCGACATATAGTTGATAAGCGAGTTACAATAAGAAGCTGTGTAATGATCGAGGAATTGGTGCGCTCAGCAGTTACACGGTACAAGTGATACAATATTATACGCAACATTTCTTTGTCGTTATAAGTATAAATAACACTGTTTTGATAAGGCAACTTATGAAAAACTAACTGCAATTTATTATTTATCATATCCCGTTTACACTCAACATTGTATGTAACACGGCATGCGATAACTGGGGATTACGTCCCCATCAACAAATTTTTTTAAGTAAAGAATTTACGTTTCTCAATATTCCAATATAGTACGGGAGGTAGCAACGTTTGAAAAGAAAGAATTTTAGGTCAGCTGATTTTGTGATATGTCTTCCTTCTTGCACTTTCGGTTAGAGTCTGGGCAATCTGGCTGGCGGTAGCGGTTGCGTTCATTAGTGCGCATCCTATCTGTCCGGTAATAATCCTGGATTTTAAAAGCATTTTAAGAAGCGTAATTATTAATTTTTCGTTTTTAAATAAGTCTACCTGACATACTTTTTTTATTGCCAGACATTTTTCACATTGCTAACTATGTGCCGAAGACGCGATTTTAATTATTTTTTTTTATAAAAATTTCAAAGTATTTTAGAATGTCTGTAATTTTAATATTATGTTCTTTAAATATAAGAAAAACTAAAAATGAATTTGCCAGACATTAATTCGATTGTTAAGTCTTGAATTAAAATGAAAAAGTATTGCAGTATGAGGAAGCATTGCATTTTAAGAAGCGCAATTTTGAATTTTTCCTTTTTAAATAAGTCTACCTGACATACTTTTTTTATTGCCAGACATTTTTCACATTGCTAACTATGTGCCAGACGCGATTTTAAGTTTTTTTTTTATAAAAATTTCAAAGTATTTTAGAATGTCTGTAATTGAAGTTGTACTTCTTTAGGCGCGTTATGAAAAATTGATGAGAGTGAAATTTTACGATTGCGCGCGCACCTATGACACAAAATTGGCAGTGTGATATAGCGTGCGCGAGCGAGATGGGAATAAGACAAACTACAAGTAAAAAGAAATAGAATATGCGTGAAGCTAACTTCACGCATATTCTAGCTTAGCAGCTTAACAAGAATTTTGAATGACCATGACAATTGACATCTGACAATGACATTTACCTTTTAAACAAATATAGGAGTTTTAATTATTGTTTAAAATTAGTAATTATATACCTAGTTATTTTCATTATACAAAATATTTGTGAAATAATATAAAATATTTGTGAAAAAACTGTGCTAACCTTCCTGAGTGCTTCAATACAATTGAGGTTAACTATCCGTATGTATTATCGAGTATTATTGTTGATTAAAACTGAAACATGAACCATTATTCATTGCTTTTGTTTATTGCGTTTGTTACAGCAACTTTTTAGAAATATTCTACGACCCTATATATCAATAATTGAGAACAAAGATTTAAGCACGAATACTAATAAGGAGAAAATGAAGGCTTGGAGCGATATAACAGAGAAGTAAACATTTTAATAAGTACCTGCATCTCAAAAAAAATGACCACATTATTTAATCAAAACATCAGATTTAATCTAGCAAATATAAGGACAAGAGACAAAAAACAATTGATGAATCAGTGGAAGTGCACTAAATTGAATTCAAAAAAGAGTTGTCATCTTATCGCCGTGAAACATCAAAAACTGGAGGTGGAACAAAGCCACCATCACCTTCTCGAGACACAATGGTTTGAAGTAGATTTCAATGAATTTGATTGTGATGGTATCGAGGTAGGAATGTTAATTATAAATATGATGTATGGTGATGTTCAAGGTTCAACCTTTCAAGCATAGGCATATGCTTACAACATTCTTTATTCCCTACAGGGTAGTTAGAGATATTGTAATACCTCAAAACATCCATGTTGCACTTGTAGTACCGAAACTCTGTCCTGCCAGAAGTGAGCCCATTCCCACTTATAATGGACAGTGGGTATAATACACCTTAATACCTGAGTGCGAACCACTCACCATGATACTTAAATTAATAGATGTTATTTATATATTTCAGGTTATTACAAATAAAATCATTTTGGAAACAACTGATATCCCAAAAAGCAAATAAAGCCAACAATGACAAGGTAATAAATCAGTTTTGACATAACTTGAATACTAAAAAAGCCAAACAAAGGTGTGCACAACAGTGACAACATAAATTAACAATTTCATTATTTTGTAGGATTAAAGAAAGGTTAAAAGAAAATCATGTCGAACTGAACAACAAGAATCCCCAAACAACTCCAAAGAAACCTACAAGGAAGACACCGGTATTATATTTAAATTATCTCTATCTCTAAATAGAATAAAAGAAAGTTGCTATCCAGGTCTGTAGCATGTGCTACAAATTATATTATTAACACATTTATATAATTATATTAATATAAATGTGTTAAAAAATTTATAATATGAATTATAAAAAAATTAAGTTTTGCATGGACAGAGCTTAAATTAATATTCTCTTATTTGTTGCAGAAAGCAAGTAGTTTTGGAGAAGCCTCGTAGATGCACAACCAAGTAATGATTAATTTAAAATTACAAACCGAAATTCTGATGAAGACATTAGAGTCACTTAAAAATAAATAGTATAATGAAATAAAAATGTTTTTAAAGATAAATAGTGTTTTATTTGTTTAATGTAAGAGAATAATAATAAATATTTATTTAATTAATTTTTCAAATGTAAACTGAACTTTATTGACTTTAATGACTCCTTTTCCAGTCTTTGATTATTTAATTGTAATTAATTATTTGCATGCAATCAAAAACTATTTTTAATAATGCCAAAGAAGTATAACTTCTTACGCGCGTACATAAGTACACGCACCTTTTTTTTAATATTATGTTCTTTAAATATAAGAAAAACTAAAAATGAATTTGCCAGACATTAATTCGATTGTTAAGTCTTGAATTCAAATGAAAAAGTATTGCAGTATGATGAAGCATTGCATTTTAAGAAGCACAATTTTTAATTTTTCCTTTTTAAATTAGTCTACCTGACATACTTTTTTTATTGCCAGACATTTTTCACATTACTAACTATGTGCCAGACGCGATTTTAAATTTTTTTTTATAAAAATTTCAAAGTATTTTAGAATGTCTGTAATTTTAATATTATGTTATTTAAATATAAGAAAAACTAAAAATGAATTTGCCAGACATTAATTCGATTGTTAAGTCTTGAATTAAAATGAAAAAGTATGATGAAGCATTGCATTTTAAGAAGCGTAATTTTTAATTTTTCCTTTTTAAATAAGTCTACCTGATATACTTTTTTTATTGCCAGACATTTTTCACATTGCTAACTATGTGCCAGACGCGATTTTAAGTTTTTTTTTATAAAAATTTCAAAGTATTTTAGAATGTCTGTAATTTTAATATTATGTTCTTTAAATATAAGAATAACTAAAAATTAATTTGCCAGACATTAATTCGATTGTTCAGTCTTGAATTAAAATGAAAAAGTATTGCAGTATGATGAAGCATTGCATTTAAAAAAAAATTAAAATCGCGTCTGGCACATAGTTAGCAATGTGAAAAATGTCTGGCAATAAAAAAAGTATGTCAGGTAGACTTATTTAAAAGGAAAAATTAAAAATTGTGCTTCTTAAAATGCAATGCTTCATCATACTGCAATACTTTTTCATTTTAATTCAAGACTTAATAATCGAATTAATGTCTGGCAAATTCATTTTTAGTTTTTCTTATTTTTAAATAACATAATATTAAAATTACAGACATTATAAAATACTTTTGAAATTTTTATAAAAAAAAATTAAAAATCGCGTCTGGCACATAGTTAGCAATGTGAAAAATGTCTGGCAATAAAAAAGTATGTCAGGTAGACTTATTTAAAAAGGAAATATTAAAAATTGCGCTTCTTAAAATGCAATGCTTCATCATACTGCAATACTTTTTAATTTAAATTCAAGACTTATCAATCGAATTAATGTCTGGCAAATTCATTTTTAGTTTTTCTTATATTTAAATAACATAATATTAAAATTACAGACATTCTAAAATACTTTGAAATTTTTATAAAAAAAAAACTTAAAATCGCGTCTGGCACATAGTTAGCAATGTGAAAAATGTCTGGCAATAAAAAAAGTATGTCAGGTAGACTTATTTAAAAAGGAAAAATTAAAAATTACGCTTCTTAAAATGCAATGCTTCATCATACTGCAATACTTTTTAATTTTAATTCAAGACTTAACAATCGAATTAATGTCTGGCAAATTCATTTTTAGTTTTTCTTATATTTAAATAACATAATATTAAAATTACAGACATTCTAAAATACTTTGAAATTTTTATAAAAAAATTTAAAATCGCGTCTGGCACATAGTTAGCAATGTGAAAAATGGGTGGCAATAAAAAAAGTATGTCAGGTAGACTTATTTAAAAAGGAAAAATTAAAAATTGCGCTTCTTAAAATGCAATGCTTCATCATACTGCAATACTTTTTAATTTTAATTCAAGACTTAACAATCGAATTAATGTCTGGCAAATTCATTTTTAGTTTTTCTTATATTTAAATAACATAATATTAAAATTACAGACATTCTAAAATACTTTGAAATTTTTATAAAAAAATAAAATTTAAATCGCGTCTGGCACATAGTTAGCAATGTGAAAAATGTCTGGCAATAAAAAAGTATGTCAGGTAGACTTATTTAAAAAGGAAATATTAAAAATTGCGCTTCTTAAAATGCAATGCTTCATCATACTGCAATACTTTTTAATTTTAATTCAAGACTTAACAATCGAATTAATGTCTGGCAAATTCATTTTTAGTTTTTCTTATATTTAAATAACATAATATTAAAATTACAACATTCTAAAATACTTTGAAATTTTTATAAAAAAAAAAATTAAAATCGCGTCTGGCACATAGTTAGCAATGTGAAAAATGTCTGGCAATAAAAAAAGTATGTCAGGTAGACTTATTTAAAAACGAAAAGTTAAAAATTACGCTTCTTAAAATGCTTTTAAAATCCAGGATATTACCTGGACAGATAGGATGCGCACTAAAGAACGCAACCGCTACCGCCAGCCAGATTGCCAAGACTCCAACCGAAAGTGCAAGAAGGAAGACATATCACAAAATCAGCTGACCTAAAATTCTTTCTCGAAAACGTTGCTACCTCCCGTACTAATATGTTTCATTGAAATCGTATCGTCCTCTATGCGAGCATTATCCTAAAGAAATTTGTGGACAAATGGAAATTATTACTTACTTATTTATATTAGAGCCTTCCTTTAACCTATCCCCAACTGCGCCAGTCTTGACAGCCCTCTCGGAACCTGCCAAGTCGACGAGGGACAGTCGCGCAACTTTCTCCCCTGTCACACCAGTTGCTACGTCGCAAAGGGTTTGCGTCAACACAACGCTGAATACGGCGTGCGATCGTGAGGATTCACTGTTCATATTCGTCGCGGCAACCGTTCGGGATTTGTTGCCTTCGGTCATTAAATTGTCGATGTCCTGCAACATATACATAGGGGAATACATAAAAATAAACAAAAAATATGTGTGTACTTATGTACACGAGTTAGAAGTTATACTTCTTTGGCGTAACAAGACAAAAATCTTTTCAAAAATTGTATTCTACGTTTGTAGAAAAAACGACACTAACAATAGAAAAAAACTAAAATGTTGACTATAGCTAACTTCAGGGTGTCGGTATTTAGTGACGATGTGCGCGCTCATCGTAAAAATTTACTCACATCATTTTTCCCTAACGCGCCAAAAGAAGAATAACTTCAAAAAGTTATTTGTAATTAAAAAAAGTGTCTTTACAACCTTTTAGGTCTTTACTTCAGATTTCTGTATCTGTCTCGTATTTTGCTATCTAGTAAGCAAGAAGGTGAGGTTCTGTGCCCACATGCCGTCAACTCTTTGGGTCTAAGGCCAGTTTCCTAACAATATTTTCATTTAGACTACGAGCAAGTTAGATGCGCACATACAGACAGAACGTCAATTGGTGCACAGCTGGGGCTCGAGCCTACGATCTCAGGGATGAGACGCACGCTGAAACCACTAGGCCATCACTGCTCTATTAGTAACTGTCATAATCAATTTAGTGAAGTTGACTTAGTTGCGTGTAAGCCAAAAGCTAACAAGACTTATTGAAATGCAAATTAATTATATCCATATAACATAACGCACATCAGCTATATTAAAGAGAGTTCTTATGTGCTACAAATTTAATTTTACACATCAAAATAGAATTTTAGTACAATTTCCTATAATTCTATTATTATTGTATAAGTAATTATTGTAAAATTATTCTTTACTTCTCGACACTTTTCGAATCTGTGGAACATTATTTTACTGTGACTCGTTTCAAGTTGAAAATTCCTTGAATTATATATAATAATATAAACAAGCATTGTGGAAGAAGAAGAAAGATGTGTGTTCCTCCTATTGTCATCTTAAAATACAGTAAAACCAGTTTAATGCAATTTCACTAATAATATAAAGCGGTTCACTCCTCGTGAAATTTTCTTTAAGGTTTGGCTGTAGCTGTTATAATTTAGAATAACTAGGGCGTTGTGCTTATATGATTCGGCAGACATAGAATTGAAATTTCCATGGCAACTACAAGTTCTAGTTAGAACTTTGAAGTCGATTTAGACAGCTCTTGTAGGAGCAATATACAGAGCAATTTCACCTCTGAATGAAATACCTCCCCCGTCAGAAGTTCACTTGTAACGGGTGGCCTCGCGAACTTCGCAACTAAAATTAAATTAGATCCTGGAGATTGTACATGTTGAAGTATAGTCTAAGTTAGTGAGGCAATTATTTATTTATTTATGTATATATTTATTATTACCTAATAGTAATTCAGCATATCTTAAACATAGTATTGTCTTTGATTTACATAACCTTTACACATTTAAAGAAAAAACTTTTTAACCGGATTAAAGTTATGTGTTATTATAAATTTACAATTTACAATAAATAATTGTAAATTTATAATAACACATAACTTTAATCCGGTTAAAAAGTTTTTTCTTTAAATATCTTAAACACCAATGTAACGATTTTGTATCCCTTAAAGTCCGAAAATAGTAAAATAAATTCGAGACCATTTAAAAAAAAAAATATGATATGACACTACTAGTTTCTAAAAATGTTCCTTACTTAAAGGTATTAAGTACCATTTACGTTTCGATAGAACGTTTTAATCACTATCACTTATAAAAACAAACCTGACAAAGTTCTAAGTAATAAGGCTTAGAGCGCGAGCTGTACTCGTGAAAACACTCCATAGAAATAACGATGAAAACGCAAACACTGCGAGCGTAGGAGTTTGACAAATAAAAGTATAGTAATTGCATCCTTGTACCATCTTTAACCCAATTCTTGTGTGAAAGGAATGAGGTCACGGTCAAAGCATAGTGGTTGCTGAATCGATACACGACAGTACTTTCACTAAGCCCTTGTTTCGCACTTGTTGATTGAACCCATTGAATTTTACTTGTAAGACTTACGGCATAAACATACACTTGTGCACTTTTTATTTTTCATGTATTCTTTTTTTGTTTCTATTTAGTTCTGTCTTAATAACTATATGTATTATGGTTTTTTGCACTTCTTGCTTACCTTATCTAATTTAATACCTTTTTTTATGACAGTGGTGCCGCCAGTTCCTTTAATTATGTTAAATTTTTATTATGTTAATGCAACGAAGTGTTAATAAATAAATAAACATACTACAAACTCTAAACCCCATTTTCACATGGTTATCTCCCTACATGACAGTGATATATATATCCATAGCTTGTTGGCTGCTTACTTATTGAAAATTAATAAACATCGTAAGTAATGAATTTTAAATGTTCAACGGCCTTTATGATTAACCAATGTTACGATTTAGGATGTCAATAATAAAAAACATAGGCTATATTGGCTACGTACAACATTGTTTAATAACTCACATGGTTAAGGATATGTCGATTTCCGATAATTTCTTCACGAGACGTGAGGTAGTAAATGCCCTGCTTCAATTAACTTCAGGATTGCGAATGGAACGCTCTACTATTAGACTAACTTCTCTCATTTCTGTTTCACAAATATGAATTAATTATCAATAACCAACACAACATTATCGTACATATTATGTATTAAATTTTGGAATTGCTCCTGGATTATACTTGGGAATTGTTTTGTTTTAAATTAAGTCACCGTGTGAAAATGCCCACCCCAGCACAACTTGCAACACGACACCGCGGATTAGTAGACCTACGCAAAGTTTTATCCGCTCTCATTTCACCGGACATTAATTAAGAACAAGGAATGCTAAAGGATAAAGGACTCCATATTAAATTCCTGAATTCCTAGTATGAAGATTATTTGTGCTTTCGAATTACGAGCGCCCGAAATATGCCATTAGTGGCATTTAACGAAGTTTAAACATCATTAAAGCATTATAAAACAATTGCTATTTGTATTTCAAGTTTCTACAAAGCGAGTGTCAATAATGACCCGTCAAATAAACCTAAATAAACACTAGGTTTGCAGTTTAATTTTCCGCAAGAGCTAAATTTGAAATGACTAAATTTGTAATACAACATTTTGTTTAGGTAAGAGAATGGTTTAACATACAATTAAAAATGCTATAACTAGATTATTCTCAACATAGAGTAGCAATTTAGTTATTTTTACAGAATATAATTTAAGTATATAAAATACAAATAGCTAATTGTGGAATCGATTCCAGAGATACCCTCAAAGGCCGGCAATGCACCCACAAAAAATGAGTGTCTATGGGCTGCGATGACTGCCCATTTTGGGCGTCCCGCTAGCTCGTTAGCCCCTCCTATTACATAAAAAAATCGCATAAACCCCAACCTCGATATTATTTTGTCATATATATTACGTAATTTATGTGTTTAAAAATGTGAATCACCTACGAATAGGTACTATATATATATACGATAGGTAATAGAACCAGAGCCATCATAAAATATTCTGTTCCTGTGAAACCTTTCGCCATTTATATAAAAATTGAACTATAATTCACAGTCAAAATGTAATAAGCGATATAAAATATAGGTTCGTAGTGTAATCCATCACTCGAGCCAACACATTACGAGAGAACAGTTCTGACTTAGTAATCACAATGATATGTACATGTTACATCTACATACATATGAACTTATATGGTTTATATTTATGACCCGTGGGAAATCAATCGATACTCTTATTCAACATTTTTATGTAACATTTAAACCAACGTGATGTATATAGACTTCGTAATCCTCTGAGTGGGCAAAAAAATATTTGTACAGATATATTCCATTTATAATAACCGGAGTTATTTGAAACACATAAATAGCTGACAAGCGTAATGGTTATTTAAATACTTTAGTCTACCAAATCTGATGGCAATTTTTTTTAAATTAATTTTCATATGGCAATAAAAGAAAATTTCATCTGTCAACTGAAATTTCGAGGAATTGTTTTTGGTTTGGTTCAAATTTCCTTTAAAAAGATGAAAATGTCGAAGAAACTCTTCGATGCAAGAAGACATATTGTTTTAATGTTTATCAAAAACTTGATCAACAAGATGCAGAAATAAAATATGATATTGAGCCATGTGCAAGCGTTGACTGGTTAGTAGGAATGACACGTCTTGATACTTTGGTTTATGGGATTCTTCGTGTGTATTATATTATGTACTTATACTAAATTTTGGTTTATTTCAGGGGTTTCTTATACCAAAATAAACTTGGATAGTTTGATTTAGAATTGATCAGAAAAAGATAATGAGTTTTAATTGTTTTTTTTAAATAGGGATGATGAATAGCGAAAATCTTGTGAAATGTAATAAAAATTTAAAATAAGTTCATAGAAAAGATCGGTTAATTGAGATGCAGGAGGAAAGGTTTATTATAAATACTGGTTGAAGACTTTTTTATGGATGTGCAGTATTTGGAACCATTTTAAAGTTCTTAATTAATTAATAAATATGAACAGAGTAATTGGAGTTTTCATCTAAATTTCAAACCATTCGCCAATTTTCAAAAATTATCATTGGATAAATTTTTATATATTTTGATATACACACCGATAGGGAATTTTCTTCCCAGTTTTAGTAATTTTTTTCCCTATTGTAGACTTAATTTTCTATACGTTCCGTGATATTTTTTTTACTCAAAAGAATTCGTTTCTAGGAAGTAGCTTTCTGTGCCTCATACACTCCGACCGATTGAGTTATATATGCAAATGGAAAGAAAAGTACATTCCACAGCCGGGGTTCGAACCTACGTCCTCAGGGATGAGAGTCGCACATCAAGCCACTAGGCCAACATTGCCTTACGAAGAGCTAAATGTCTGTATATTCCAGACAATTTATTCCTGGCTACTTTGTGATGTTAATTAACTGTTCATTACTATTAAATATTTCAAAGGTATGTAGGGTAACATTACTCTTTTTGCCTGCAATCCCATTACCGTCTTGTAGTCGCATTCTTCCGTAATTAATTATTACTGTTAATAAATTGCTGACGAATACTTAATGATGATTGAATTGAGAATTAATCCAGTAATACGCAATTAAATTTTTCCCGATATGCAAGTAGAACAGAACGTTAAAACTCAACTGTACAAAGAGTAATTGAATCAGAAAATCTGTTAGTTCCGAGAAATTTTGTAATTAAAAACGGGTATAATTGAACCAAGTTAGATTGAATCTCAAACATAAAGGCACTGGAAATAGATTGTAGCGAAACTTAGAAAATTAAGCGTTTGGAGTTGGCAATATTAACGGCAATCAAGAAAATAACGGCCAATAGCGTGGAACACGATGTAATGAAGCCTTCGGATCTTTCCTACCACGAATAACGTGATTCTCAGCGTTAAATTGTTTTCTAAACTTTTCTGACCCGCTTAATTTACCGTGAGAGCAAAAAAGAAATAATTTAAAGAAGAGAAACCAACCCTAGTAAACATAGGTTCAAGTTCAGTAAACGACACTTTTAGAAGTGAAACATTTTTAGTCGCACGAGGGTAATTTTTTTACAGAATGTCACGAAGATGTGTCGAAGAAAAGGGAGAGAGCGATTGAGACCGATTGAGAGAGAGGATACCTTATAGAAATTCTATTTTTAAAAAAATAAATTTATTATTTGTATTAATTTTCGACACTTTTATTATTTTAATGACAATTAAATTCATTAAATTCCTAACATATCTTCCTTTTTCTCTTCCTCTAAGTCTCGGAAATCTAAAGTTTTCAAGTTAAAAATTAGTTTGCCAAAGAAGTTTCACTTCTGACATGTGTACTTTGTACGCACGCACTTTTTTTTAAATATGACAGCAAAGCCTAGTAAATTTAACTCTTCAATACAGATGATGTCTACAATACGATAAGCACATTATAAAATATAGTTTATCCTTTTTTAGATTATCTGAAGTTTAGTCGTCTGTTGTTTCTTTCTATCAAATTATGTTTAGGCTTTGATAAAAAGAGACAAAACTACAACCAAAGAAAAACAGATTAGACGTATTTTGTATGGAAACAAATTTATTGTGCGTTTATCAGTTTTTATTATTTTTCTAAGTTATCTTCGTATAACTAACATCGTATCACATTTAAATAAGACAAAAGGCACTTTGAAGATATTTAAGCATCACCTTTACTTATCAAAAGTAATCTTACGCTTTTATTCTCAACGGTTAAAGGTACAATCGTAAATGATAGTTATCTTGGATATCCCTGACCTTTTATTTTTCACAAAGAAAGCGGAGATACGCGACCTGTGTTAAGTGTAAGTAAAGGTCAAAATGAAAATTTGGTTACGAATCAACGCGCACAGCGGGTTTATCAAAATTTTATCCACGCAATTTTGGCAAAATCAAAAAATCTCTCGAGGCACAACTAAACTTGATTGGTTATTTAAAACAATACTTGATTAGTGTGTTCTATATTGACAACTATCTGACCCGGCGTTCTTCGCACCGCCTCCCAGGCAATTAACGTCGTGTTACAGCACAAATATTAAGTTCACTGCTCTATTAAGATAATAACAGACCTTTGTTTACACAGAATATATTTCAGAACATTTTTAAAATCCAAAATGTCTAGATCACGCATAAATATTTTGACAAAGCCATTATATTCAAACCATTTCAACCGAGATTATTATAGAATTTCATTACTTGTAATAGAATTATTACTATCATTGAAAAACGTTGATTTGCTACAAAATTTCTCCCCCCCCCCAAAAATTTTTTTCCCCCCCCCCCCCAAATTGATTTCTTTAAACAACACCCCCCCGCCCCCAAAAAAAAAATGTTGCCCCAAAAAAAAATTTTTTTTTACATTTTAAAGTCCTAAAAAAATATGCGAATATTGTGGATAGTGTCGATTCGAAACCTATATTTAAATACGTTCTTTAATTTGGTGGGAGATTTACCGTATCGTTGAACATTAAATGTTTGACAGTTACGAAACGCATGAACATTTTGTATTGGAATTGTTTTTTATTTTATTTATTATTTTTGTAAAAAATGGTTACTTATAGTTCTGCTATTCGGGAGACAAACACAACAAAGATAAGAATTGGTCCAGTTTCTGTTGACTTCTAAGTATTCGAACAAACCCGACTTTGTATTATATATTAATATTAGAAAAAATGCTCCAGACTGTTTTTCAAATCCACTTAAGCTGTGAAATATCTTCTAAAGAAGTGATTTACTTCAGATATTTAGTTAGAGGCGTGTCTTGGTCTTGTTGTGAGCCTGTTGTACAATACAGCCTTGCTTAATTAATAATGATAGACAAACGTAAAGGGCATTGTTGATACTCTAATCAGGTAATCTTAGAACTGATATTAATATATATTCTGTAACAATTTGAGCTTTATAGTATGTTTTTTGCACAGTGGATTGCATTAATTTGTTATAAAAATGTTTAGTTTTATGTTTTCTTGTTTTGTTTATGTCCTTAGTTTAAATTTTTTATTAATAATTTCTCTATTGTATTAAGGTAATGTAAGGATAGAAAATAAGAAAATAAATAAAATAAATGTTTATGAAAACAATAAATTTACAGTTAATCAAACATGAATATTCTCCATTGCAATGTCCTGGTTATCGATTGGATTATAATAATAAGTTTGATATGATTTGATAAACATTCTTTATCAACCGCTGTATGGCTTGTAACAGCGCTTAATATGATGCACGACTAAGTGGAGCAGGGAAGGTGCTGCTACTCCCGGCTGCCGATCCGCGACCAATCTACTAATTGCCCCGAAGAAGGCCCAAAGTGAAAGTTATACATATTCTAAGCGGTCTGAATAACTTAGATAGTGGGTTTCAGGATATGTATGACATCATCGTGTTGATTTGTAGCCGATTGAAGGCGTAACTAATGGTTTGAAATTGGAATGAACATTACCTGATAAGACGATACAGCTAGCTGTGAGAGGCCATCGACATAGGGTCCAAGTACAGCATGCTCTCGGACTCTGAGTGATCGCCTCGTCGTTTCGGGGTCGAGGAGGTCGTGTACACGCTCATTGTAAATCTCCATGTACGATACTTCAACCTGTAAATACATTTGTACATTTGTATCTAATTTTAGATGACCTTAGCCACAAAATCTTTAATTAATTGTGACTCAATTAAATTTAATTAACACTACTGGTTTCAAATAACAGGACAGAGAGTTAAGCAAGTTGTCAAAAAATTTTATAACACGTAAAGAAAGTTTAACCTCAATAATTACGTGGTGTTAAAAATATAGCATAAACCATACCTTATACGTAAGCGCAGGCGGCGATTGTTGTACAGCTATCCTCTCGAACAAAGCATCGCATAGTCTCGGAATAATACCGCCTTCGTCGCCTCCCGGCGCACCCATCATTGTGTACGACTTCCCTGAACCTGCAACCAAGAGACACCGCTTTACAATCGAGAAAGGCTTTCAAATATTGTTTTTGAGAAGATTGCACTTTGAAACCCATTTTTCATACAATTAAGTCATTTGTACTTTTAATACTTTACATGAACATAGCTTATTTTAAATGATGTTAGGGGTTATGTTGACTTAAATTGAATTCAAATTTAAATATAACGTTGTACTAGTTTTCATTTTCGGTACCAGATATTACGCTTAACATGTTAATAAATAGCAATACACACTTTCTCAATTCAAACCTCAAATTACCTGTTATCTTAAGCCGACCATTTTCGTTAATAAAAATTTGCAGACCCTATTTTTATTTTTTTGACGACTCATTGGTCTAGTGGTTAGTACCCCTGACTGCGAATCCATGGGTCCCGGGTTCGATCCCCGGTTGCGACGAACATCGATGTGATGAGCATTTGGTGTTGTGCTTAGGTCTTGGGTGTTTAAAGATGTATTTATATGTCTATCTATCTATAATATGTATGTATATCCGTTGCCTAGTACCCATAACACAAGCTTCACCAGCTTAGCATGGAACTAGGTCGATTGGTGTGAAATGTCTTTAAAAACAAAAATTATATACACGAGCTACTGCTGTAACAGAACAGTGAACTATACAATACACCAGTCTAGTAGAGTAAGTAAAGTGCATATCAAAAAGACGTTTGAAGATGAAATATGGAAGCAATATTTCAAAACATGGAAAACAAAAAATATACAATACACACGAGATACGTAGAAACGACAATGTTTTATAAGATATCACAGGGCGCCAGAGAAGAAAAATTAAATGGTAATTTATTGCCTTAAAGGTATGTATTTTTCATAATCTTACCAGTACAGTATAATATTCAAAATCATTGTGATTTGTTACAGTCTAGAAGGTAATTTACAGGAGGAGTGGAGGAAATTGCGTTTTAATAGTTTAAATAGCAGAAAGAAACAGCATTGACGTTGATAGGTTATGCGCAATTTATTTAAAACATGTTTGGGATTATGTAGTACGAACGAAAAGAAACCCGACGTTATCTATATAGGTGAGCCTTGAAAATTTATATTTAATACTATAAACCCAAGAGCCAATTTCAGTAAGGCAAAAAAAACCAATGGCGTTATCTGTTTCGTGATCATTTGTTTTTTCTAATAGGCAGGTAGGTGCGCTAACTCCATCGAATTTTTAGGCGTGCCGAATTCCTCACGATGTTTTCCTTCACCGTACGGGCGAATGTGAAATACGCACATAGAAGGCCACGCAAGGCACATAGGATCGAACAGGGATAAGAGCCGCACGATAAAGCCTCTAGGCCAACTCAATAAGACAAAGAGCAATATAATAAAAACTATGTATGTACTTTTTGTTACATATCCATATCACAAGTTTTTACCTAGTTTGGAAACCAGTCTCCCAATACCTCCTCAACTGTAATCTTATTGTTTGTTGAAAATGTTATATGAGAGAAAATAAATTATTATTACTATTATTATCAAAATAAGGCTTATCTAGACGTTCTTTACATGACAAACCTTACATGGTATGTAGCCCAACAGTAATTGTCAATAGCAACGTAGATCATATTAAATACTGTCAAGATTGTTCTCATATGCGTCATAGCTTTGATCTAAACTTGTACAGGCGCACATTACATAATTTTTTAGCATCTCACGCTCCAAATAAGAGTAAAACAAGCTTATGTCTAGTATAAGAGCCCTCCGCATCTTGAGTACAACTAGTCCCGTTAAGGGAAGTACCCTCACGCGAAAATAGCGTAAGGTCACCCTAGTGCACTTCGTAATTAAAGGTGTTTGACGCGAAATAGAACTTTCTTTATTAATAAAATAATAAGATATTAAAGAAAATCTTACAGATTGTTATATAGATGTCTTAATCTATATATAACTTTTAATTCTGAGTTAATTATTTATACTGTGGCCAAACAATATTGGTTCCTGCGAACTGTTACATCCCCAAAATGTCAGCTGACAGAGAGAGTAGGAAGATTATCGCGAGTCAACATTATTCAGTCTGCTGTGAACATTATTAGAGAACGGTTGCCTAAGATTAATTAAGTATTGATCCTCGAATAAAGTTTTGGGTTTTTTTTACGTAATAATATGGTAATATAAGTCTTACATAATGTTATAGAACTACTATAATACAACAGAACTAGATAGTGACATTATCACTGGTCAAACTAACAGGGATCGCCATAACTCTTTTCGAGTCGAGCTTTTCCCAACCAACGCCTAAGCCATAGAGATAAATTCGCGACGACTAACACAATTGTCCTTTTATCAACACAACGCTTTACCTAAATCCTATAATATATAACTTAAAAATTGGTAGAAAACTTTTTAAAATATTTTGCATCTATTGGTATACCTTTAGTAGTTAGATTTAGTGGTATAGATGTATAAAAATTAACTTGGTCATTGAATCACGCCTAACGGGTAAAACAATTTCGCTAAATATTTTTTTGTTGCGTTTATTATAGTCCGACGGTTTTTATGAATGAAAAAATTAAGGAAGTTTGACGGAACATTATTAATACCCACAAATCAATATTTTCGTAAAGACAATATTAATTTTACAGAACTGTCAGTTGTTTAAAATAACAGTTGGCGATTGACAGAGTAAAGATAAAAACTAAGCCAAACCAAATTCTTGAATCATATTTTTTTAAATTAAATATCCCAATTTCAATTTAATACTTAAATTTAAGACAGGGCAATGCCTGACGGGTCAGCTAGTACATAATAATAATTACTAAACATGAAGAAACCAGGCTTACTAAATATAAAGGAATTGAAGAAAGGTTTTTTTGGCTTAGTAGGCCTACGTAAATTACTAATATCATTAAATCGTAATAAAACAACTGCATATACTGTTAATAAACACAAATGTGTCTTCCCTGCAGTACTTTAACCTCAAAAATTGCATGACTGAAAACTAATACGAAAGATTCCGAATTCTGGCGTACAGCCAACCGCAGCCTATCCATCATGTGGTATTGTTGTTACAGTTGTAAATTGGTTCAATTGTAATATAAACTATACATGCACTTCGTGAAATATTCACTTGTATTTTAAAATGTATGTAAACATTTGATTTCTGTTGTTTAATCTCACTGAGACAGGAAATTTATAAGTTATTGTTTTTGTTGCAGCTACTTTGTAAAAACAGAAAAATATAACAATTAAAATGTACTCTTAAACAACGATATTTTAATTAACTTTTAAAATAATAAATTACCAGGTTAACCACACGTGTTGGAGACGAAACGTAGTTATGGAATTTCGTCACATTCACTGAACGTCTTCTTTATAAAACACATAACATTTTTTCATGATTGCAATTATAATTCAGCTACAAATAATTGTATATTTGTCGATAAAAAATAAAATAGGTGTAAATAATATCTTGAATATATTATTATCCAAAATACCTTCGACATCATATAAAAATATGTATCGACAATTCAAGCATGTTTTATTGAAAGCAAAAGTTAAAATTTGTTTGAGTTTCATTTCATAATCTGTGCCTCTCGCTTCATGCTAACAATTAACGAATGCAAACAGTAGGTAGTTAAACTTGTGTTTACTCAGAGGATCAAGACATAACAGAAAGCGACAATATCTTAATATATATATTTCTTCTGTGCGTGTGTATGTGACTGAACTCCTCCAAAACGACTGGACCGATTTTGATGAAATTTTTTGTGTGTGTTCAAGGGGATCTGGGAATGGTTTAGAGTTCACAAATCAGCCCGGCAGATGGCACTGCAGTCGGTACTTTCATACTTTGCTTAATATCCTAATCGCTTTAAATATCATGCAGGACAACGTCTGTGGGGTCCACTAGTAGTATAATATATTTGATGCCTGATGCTGTTGATTTTCAATAGGCCCATCTGAATATTTAATTTGAAAAATAATTATTTTTCCACTATGGAATTATATTTTAAGATTGATTTTTTTTATTCATATGAAAAAATTAGCTTACTTAGCAATGATTGCTTCGTTAGCGATTTATTGCATATTTTGTTTAGGCAAATAAAGATGTGTAAGAGAACTATATTTGCGTACTATAATGAGCAAATAATTATTTGTAAAATATCAAAGAATATATTAAAGGAAATTGTATATCGTGGAAATGTATACAGAATTTATTTATATTAACTTTTTCCCGTGAGAGGAATAATGATGATATAACATTCAAGTTAATTAAGAAAACTACTAAAGAAATAATCAATTTGCTTATTTCTTTAGTAGTGGATGAAATAGCTTACGCTCGCCTCTTTTATGCGGATATTACCAGCACATGAGCACACAAAAAACCTCACGGCGCGGCCCCACCAATCGACTTAGGCGGAATGTGGTAACAACGCTCTAATTCCTGTCCCCGCCCTTGAAGAGCTGGTGGCATCATGTTGTGTATTGGAGTATGTGACCCATTTTTTCATATTAAAGTTACAGAACATAAACGAACCCTAAATTGTACATTAACAATTGGTATTTCAATTATACAGAATTTAATATGGCTTTCTGTCACAACTTGGACCGTACCATAATCGACACAAAGCTGGCAGGTGCAGCTTGCAGTTTTAGGTCACACGGGCGGAGGGCGCTCACGCTTACGCTTTGTTCTCATTCCAACTTATTACGAAGGCTTAGTGCGAAAATCTTAACGAGTCTAAGCGAACACATGTAAAAATAGGTCTTGACAAGTGACGAAATAGGGCAATCTCTGACAACATTCATCTCATAGATCTAAGCAGGTTTATAGGGTAAGGTCAGTCGTGCTTTATAAAACTTGACGGCTCATTGGTCTAGTGGTTAGTACCCCTGACTGCGAATCCATGGGTCCCGGGTTCGATCCCCGGCTGAGACAAACATCGATGTGATGAGCATTTGGTGTTGTGCTTAGGTCTTGGGAGTTAAAATATGTATTTATATGT